GGTGAAAAAAGGGGGGCCCCCCCCCCCCCCCCCCCATCCCCACCCAAGCCCCGCCGCGCTCCGAACACTAATTTCCCGTGCACAGATGCCGCGCGCGGTGTCGACGGCTTCGACGACTTCGGACGTTCGAAGTCCCGGCCCCTTCGGGGGCCAGTACCCAGCGCCGACGCGTGCGGAAGTACTAGTATATATAGGGTGCGGGCGGAGATCAGGGGACGGAAGCGCGCGAGACGGACGATGGCTGCGCCCCGGGGCGACGCGGCCTGGCGGCGCGACGACAAGGACTAAGCTGCATTGCTTATCCAGGGGGGCTAGGGGGGTACCTAGGCGAACCGAGCTAGCTGAGCTAACCGTCGCAGCGTAGGTTGGTCTTGGAGGAGCACATCAGGGGTGCAGTATTTTCGACGAGCGGCAGAGCTAGTAGTTTTTGTTTTTTTTTCAAGTCGCTGCACATCCGCTCGTCGTCACTTTCCTTCTCGATTTTGCTTTCCTTCTCACTCTCCTTTTTCCCTTTCTTTTTCTTCTAAGCTGCACACCAACTCCTCGCAGACGCGGCTCGCCGAAGCAAAAATAACAGCACGCGTCGAGATGCTCGCCCTTCACCTCGGCCTGCTGCTGGCGTCTGCGGCGGCCCAGAGCCATCCTTGGAGCGAGGTCGCGGCGCCGCTCCCGTATGTGCCCGTGTTCCTGCGGTTCAAGAAGTCGGGGACCGGGGCGGCGGAGAACGAGCTGTTTCGTCGCGTCTGCGTGGCGAAGGACGCGGTCTGGACGGGACCTTGGCAATTTGATGAGGAGGGGATGCCGGCGCTCTTCGGTTTTAATTCTGATTTCAATCGAGAACGGACGAACATATCGCGCGCTACGCCGAACCGCGTCGGCGGCGCCGACGAGATCGCACGTTACATCGGCTACGGCCGCGCGCGCACCCGGGTCAAGATGTTCACGCTGATCCGCGATCCGCTCGCGCGCGTGGCGTCGAGCCTCTACTTTTGGTCCGGCGAGCTAAAAGCAACGCCCCTCGGCGAGGTCTCGCCGGCGAATATATCGCGGTACCGCGCGTGCGACTGGGACGGCTGCGTCTACTTCCCCAATATCAGATCGACCTTCGTGCCCAACGTCGCGCCCGTGCTCTCGCGGACGCTCTCCGCGGACAGAGTCAGCCCACAAGAGCATTGCGTTCCGGCGTGCGAGCGCGACGTGTCGCGCGCCGAGGGCGACCGGCGCGCGCGCGAGGCGGCGCGCGCGCTCGCGGCGGACTTCATCGTCGGCGTCACGGAGCGCATGGACGACTTCGTGGCCCTCGCGTTCCTCGAGCTCGGCGGGGCCGCGACGCTCGACGCGCGCCGCATCTGCGTGCGCCACGACCACAGGCAGAAAAAGCCTTCGGGCGAGGTCGTGCGAAGCTGGCCCGACGAGACCGTCCGCGCGGTGAACGCGACGCTGCGCCACGAGTGGCAGGTCTACGCGGCCGCGAAAAATCTTTTCGAGAGGCGAGTCGCGGCGCACGGCCCCGAGGCGTTCGCGGCCGCGCGCGCGGCCATCGCCGAGGGCTGCGACGGAGGAGGCCCTCAGAAGAGGCTGCCGAAGTTGACGAACGACGAGCTCGCCGCCGGCGCCGCGCGCGAGCTCGCCCTGGCCGAGCGCGGGTCCGACTACGCGGCCGCGCTGCGCATCGTCGTCGACAACGACGGCCGCACGAACGCGTCCGACCATTTCACCGTCACGGCGAAAGATGATGGCTTCCGCCTCGACTTCGGCGGCGTTCCGGCGCCGGGCGGCACGAGTCTGAAAGGGCTCGACGTGTCCCCGTGCCTGAACGTCGCCGACGGGCCCCCGGGCCCCGGCGACGGTCCCGTCCCGGGCTTCCATTGGGGGAAGGCACGGAACTTGCGCCGCTCTTAAAAACACGGAATTGGCACCCACTGTGCTAAGCAGCCCGGAGGTAGGTCGCCTAGAGAGATGGAAACACATACTCGTCTCTACGCGGGAACTACGCGGGGAGCTTTCGAGCGCGCTCACGCGCGGCGCTCGCTCTTGACGGCGCCGGGGTCCGCCTTGAACTTGGCGGACTTGGAGGTCCGGGACTTCTTCCGCGGCGGCGGCGCCGGCGCCGGCGGCGCGTCGTCTTCGTCGCTCTCGTCCCCGCTCTGGATCTCGATGATCTCGTTGTGGCGTTCGATGGAGTCGAAGGCGCCGCCGAGGTGCGCCACGGCGATGCCGTTGATAAGGACGCGGCGGCCCGGGCGTGGCATGACGCGCACGACGCGGAGCTTCTTGTCTGATCCGCTGACCATGAGGAGGTAGAGCATGACGCCGAAGACGTTGCTAAACGCCTGCGCGAATATTTCGACCTGCATCTCGGCGACGGCGGCGCCGCGGCGCGACGCCAAGCCCACGCCGAGGCGCTTCGAGTTGCGGCTCAGCGTCTCCGTGTGCGCGCTGCCGACCTGCTTGACCTGGACCTCCGAGTCCGTGGTGCCGGCCGCGAGGACGACGGCCTCGTAGTCGATGAGCTGCTCCTTCGTGGGCACGACGAGGAGCTTCGCGTCCTTCTCCTTCTGGAGGACCGCCATCTTCTCGTGGTACATCGTCGCGAGCTGCTTGCGGGGCGCCATGCCCGCGTAGGACTTGCGCGCGATCTTTTTCGAGCGGCCCTTCGGGGACTCCTCGAGCTCCGCGCCCTTGGCCGCGCGGACGAGGACGTGGTCGCCGGGCACGAGCGGCGGCGGGTCGTCGCTGCGCGCGAGGGCGTCGTCGTAGATCTGGTTCGCGGCCATCGCGCCGTCGTGCGCCGCGCGGCGCGCCTTGACGAACTCGAGCCACTGCTTCGCCGTCTTGATGGGCGACTTTCCAGCCCGAAAGAGCCTCCCGTACTCATTGTCGAAGTACCAGTCCTTCTGCTGCCGAATCTCGTGCTTGGTGTAGCCCTTTCCTTCGCTCTTGCGCGGGAAGCGCTCGCATTTGACGAGCTCCTCGACGACGACGTGCTCGACGTAGCCCGCGAGCCCCGCGGTGCCGCAGAGCTGGCGCGAGCACGCCGCGAAGAAGGACGACGCCTCGCCCGCGAGCTTGAAGCCCTCGCCGCGTAGCGCCGCGTCGAGCGCGGCCGCGTCGCCGACGGCGCGCGGCGCGCCCGCGCCCTCGAGGGGCGAGAGCCGCGACGAGAAGAGGTACGACGGCGGCTCCGTGACCGCGAAGCCCCCGCGGAGCGACTTCCGCAGCTCGCGCGACGCGACGCGCGCTTCCTCGATCTGGTGCCACTGCCAGTCCTGCCAGGCCTTGGGGTTCGTCTTGGAAATCTGCAGGCCTTCGATGGCGGCGTAGCGGAAGGAGAAGGTCGCGAGGACGCTGTCCACGTCGTAGACGACGGTGCACTTCGATCGCGTGGCCTTCAGGGCGCCGCCGGTCGCGACTTGATCGTCGAAGGCGGCCTCCTGGCCGAAGACGCGCTTCTTCTCGGCGTTGCCGAGCGTCGCCGCGAGCGACGTGTCGGGCGCCGGCGCGAAGCCCGCGTCCTCGTCCTCGTCCTCGTCGGAAGAGCCGTAGTGCCGGTGATCGATCCAGGGATCGTAGCCGAAGTCCTCGTCCATTTCGATGCTGCGCACCTGCCGCACGATGACGTCGATGCGGCCCGCCTGCGACGCGCGCACGTCCCGGGCCGCGCCCTCGCGGGAGCTGTCCGGCCGCAGCGGCGCGAAGCGCATGCGCCGAACGCCGAACTGCCGGGAGCTGCTGACGTGCTGCCCTTGGATGATCGCGTCGGTCTGCGGGTCGACGATCAGGTTGTCGATCCGGAGGCCGTCGACGTACGTCGAGAACCGCAGCAGGTTTTCGTCCTCGGAGCTCAATGCCAACGGCTGGTCGTTCGTGACCAGAACCTCGAAGTAGTCGTCCGTCGCGGTCGCGATGAGGCGCTGGTGCTGGTTCTCGCATTCCCGCACGCTCTTCACTTCGCGCTCGGGAAGATCCCACGCCAAGAAGTCCCAGTTCCGCGGCCCCGAGTCCTTGTCCTCGAGCTCGGGCATGCGGCACCCGTCGACGAGCACCGAGGCCGACGCGATCGCGTCCTTGTCCATGGTCTTGATCTTCTCCGCACGTTCACTCATCGAGAGGCTCTTCATTACGTACGGGTCGTCGTCGTCCATCTGGGCGACGGCGACGAGGTCGGGCTCGTCCTGGGCGCCGGCGTCGAGCGTGAAGCGTCTCTAAACGTAGGGGGCGGGAGGAGCGCCGGCGTCGAGCGGGCGGCGCGGGGTCACCGCGTGAATGAGCCTCTGGCTTTGGCGCCTCTCTTGAAAAATCGATCGCTGTTTCGAAGTGGCAATAAGCTCCTTCTCTCCCCCTTCGGTTCTTCCCTGCGCCGCGGCTAAGCAATAAGCTCCTGGCCCTCCGACCTCCCTCGGATAGGCTGACCCGATAGTACTACGCAGGGAGGGGTCAACCGTTCACTTGCGGCGGCGCTTCTTGGTCTTGGGGGCCTTCTTGGGGCGTTCCGTCTTGACCTCCGCCTTGACGCCGCCGGGCTCCTTCTTGAACTTCGAGAACTTGGCCGTCCGGCTCTTCTTCCGCGGCGCGGGCAGCGGCGCCTCGTCTTCGTCGCTCTCGTCGCCGATCTCGATGATGTCGTGGTGGCGCTGGATGGAGTCGAAGGCGCCGCCGAGGTGCGCCACGGCGACGCCGTTGATGAGGACGCGGCGGCCGGGCCGCGGCATGACGCGCACGACGCGCAGATTTTTGTCCTGCCCGGAGACCATCAACAGGTAGAGCATGACGCCGAAGACGTTCGAGAAGGCCTGCGCGAACATTTCGATCTGCATCTCGGCGACGGCCGCGCCGCGCCGCGACGTGACGCCGACGCCGAGGCGCTTGGAGTTGCGGCTCAGCGTCTCCGTGTGCGCGCTGCCGACCTGCTTGACGCGGACCTCCGAGTCCGTCGTGCCGGCCGCGAGGACGACGGCCTCGTAGTCGACGAGCTGCTCCTTCGTGGGGACGATGAGCATCTTGTCCTCCTTGTCCTGCTCGTCCATCTCGACTTCGAAGCTCGCCCGAACCGCCTTGGTAACGAGCTGCTTGCGCGGCGCCTTGCCCGCGGTGGACTTGCGCGCGACCTTTTTCGACCGGCCCTTCGCCGGCGACTCCTCGAGCTCCGCGCCCTTGGCCGCGCGGACGAGGACGTGGTCGCCGGGCACGAGCGGCGGCGGTTCGTCGCTGAGCGCGAGGTCGTCGTCGTAGATCTGGCCGGCGGCGAGCGTGCCGTGCGCCGCGCGGCGCGCCTTGACGAACTCGAGCCACGCTTTCGCCGTCTTGATCGGCGACTTCGCGCCGCGATAGAGGTACCCGTATTCGTCCTCGAAGGTCTCGTCGCCTGTGTGCAAATCAACCACTGGTTAGGGACGTCCCGACCAAACTTTGAAATTCTCTAGCTCGGTCAAATCGAAGTCGATTCGGCTGATTTTTGGACTCATCGATTGCTCTCATCGAGTTCTCGAAGTACAGCGAAAGTGCTTGTGTCAAAGTGTTCAAAAAATCTCACATTGAAGTCAGGTTGAAGGTTTGATTTCCACACAGCTCGTCGCGGTCCATGCGCACCTCGTAATCGCCGTGGACCCAATCCTTCTTGCGCGGGAAGCGCTCGCAGGCGACGAGCTCTTCGACGACGGCGTGCTCGACGTAGCCCGCAAGCCCCGCGGTGCCGCAGAGCTGGCGCGAGCACGCCGCGAAGAAGGACGACGCCTCGCCTGCGAGCTTGAATCCCTCGCCGCGGAGCGCCGCGTCGAGCGCGGCCGCGTCGCCGACGGCGCGCGGCGCGCCGGCGCCCTCGAGCGACGAGAGCCGCGACGAGAAGAGGTACGACGGCGGCTCCGTGACCGCGAAGCCCCCTCGGAGCGACTTCCGGAGCTCGCGCGACGCGACGCGCGCGGCCTCGATCTGGCGCCACTGCCAGTCCTGCCAGGCCTTGGGGTTCGTCTTGGCGATCTGGAGGCCCTCGATGGCGGCGTAGCGGAAGGAGAAGGTCGCGACGACGGCGTCCTGGTCGTAGTCGACGAAGCACTTGGTCCGCGTCGACTTGATCTCGGCGCCGAATGCGACCTCGTCGTCGAAGGCGGCCTCGAGGCCGAAGAGGCGCTTCTTCTCGGCGTTGCCGAGCGTCGCCGCCTGCGACGAGTCGGGCGGCGGCTTGAAGCCCATGTCCGCCTCGTCCTCCTCCTCGGACGACGAATAGGGGTAGCCGTAGCTGTCGTAGCCGTCGTCCTCGTCCTCGTAGGTGATGGAGCGCACGGCGCGGACGATGACGTCGATTTTTCCCGCCTGGGGTGCGCGCGCGCCCGTCGCGGCGCCCTCGCGCGAGCTCTCCGGCCGCAGGGGCGCGAAGCGCATGCGGCGGATGCCGTAGCGCTTGTCGCTCGAGACGTCCTGGCCCTCGATGACCGACTCGTCGCCCGGGTCGACGAGGAGCTTCTCCATGATGTGGCCGTCGACGTAGGTCACGAAGCGGAGCGCCGCCTTCGCGTGGTCGCCGTCCCCGTACTTCCAACGCTTGTCGTTCTTGAGCAAGATCTCGAAGTAGTCGTTCGTCGTCGTCGCGATCAGGCGCTGGTGCTGGTTCGGGCACGACACGACGGAAGCGACTTCCCGCGCCGAATGGTCCCACGCGAGCCATCCCCAGTCTCGCGGCCCGGAGTCCTTGTCCTCGAGCTCGGGCATGCGACAGCCGTCGACGAGCACCGCGACCTCCGTCGAAGTAGACGCATCCTTGACCATCGTCGCTCGAATTCGCCGAACGTAATGTGGCTCAGACTACTCGCGTGGTCGTCTAGTATTCTATTCACGGCGGCCCGTCGACGAGCCCTCGCGCGCGGATCACGCGCGAGTGATTTGAGATGCTTTTGGCGCACCTGGGTTGCGAGGAGCAGGCTCCTGCTCGAGCCCTCCTCGAGGGCGAGCCCGTGGTCTGCGAGTTCGCGACCACGGCGCACCTCGCGAAGGCGTAGGTACCCCGCCCTAGTTATTCACGGCGACGACGCGGCGTCCTTCGGCGGCGGCGCGCCGCCCGCCCCGTCGGCGTAGTGGCGCTGGCCGAGCGTCGCCGCGACGTCCTTCTCCGCCTTCGCGAGGTCGATGCGCAGGCCCTGGGGGATGCCCACGGCGTAGAGGGCGCAGAGGGACCAGATCGCGAAGCGCATGCCGACGACCTCGTTGATGACCGTGAAGACGAGGGGCGGCACCCAGACCCAGACGGCCCCGGCGAAGGAGTAGATGCCCCACATCTGCGCCTCGCGGCCGCCGGGGATGAGCTTCGTGAACAGCACGCGCTGCGCCGGGTAGACGACGCCGTTCCCGAGGCCGACGAGGAAGCCGAAGCCGTAGAGCGCGTCCTTGTGCTGGGGCCCCGCGACGGCGAGCGGCATGAGGAACGCGAGCAGGCAGAGGAACGACAACGCGCCGACGACGACGGCCTTGCAGGAGCAGCGCCGCAGGAGCACCTTGCTGAGGAACGCGCCGCCGAGCGTCGCGACGAGCGCGACGCCGAGGCACGAGCCGATCTGCGTCGCCGTCATGCCCGCGAAGACGGCGAGGTACGTCGGCAGCAGGTTCAGGAACGCCGACGTCGACGCCTCCCAGCAGCTCAGCCCGAGCAGCAGCTTCCAGAGCTCCGGGTACTCCGTCCGCGTCGTCGCCGCCGTCCGCCGGAGGCTCGCGAAGCCCTCGGTGAGCAGCGACCCGCCCGGAGGGAGCGCCTGGAGCGCCGGCCGGTCCCCGTTCAGCGCGTGCCACGCGTAGGGCAGCGTCGCCACGAGCGCGAAGCCCGAGAGGCCCTGCGCGAGCCGCGCGGTGTCGACGGGCCCGCCGCCGAAGCCGACGAGCACCGCGAGCATGCCCAGGCTCGCGCCGTAGCCGCCGCCGAGGCCCGACGCCTGGATCGCCGCGGCCTCGCGGTCGTCGCGCGTGAGCTCCGGGATGTACGCAAAATGGGGCACGAGGTGCAGCAGGTAGACGACCTGCGCCTCGACCTGGAGCGCGGCGACCGCGGGCCAGCTCCGCTCGGAGACGCCGATCTCGATGATCTGGATGAAGATGAGCGCGTAGGCCGTGCCGAGCCCCACGGCGCGGCGCCGCGGCGTGTAGTCGACGAGCGTGCCGACGAGCGGCAGGCACGCGGCCGTCGCCAGGTAGCCGACGGTGAGCATGACCGTGAGCAGCGAGCTCGCGCGGAGGCCGGACTCGAGGCGCTTGCCGCAGATGCCGTCGGCGTGGATGCGCTCGCAGCCCGCCTCCTTGGCCGCGTAGCGCAGGATGGCGTAGCCCAGGAAGATGTTCGAGATGCCCACGGTCGCGCGGCTCGTGCAGTCCATGACGTAGGCGTTCGCCTCGGCGTTGCTGTAGCAGCAGCCCATGGTGTCTGTCTTTTAGCAGCAGCCCATGAGTAACCGCTCACCGTCGCTATCTATCGGTTGTCCCTCTGTCTTTTAGCAGCAGCCCATGCACCCCTATATGATGCTATCGCGCTGGCATCCCACATTGCGCTGCCATGCTGGATGAAAAAGTATGAAATAGCAACTTGGCCAATGATGAAAAATCATCACTCCCACACATCTTGAACGGACCAATACAGAAAGTATTGGTTGATAGATTCAAAGCGGGCTGCCAAAGCGGGCTGCTCAGCGCTCGTTGCACCGCGGCCGGCGGCCTGCGCCTCGAGCTGCCCCGCCGGACCGTTGCGTCGCGGTCGGCGGCCCCGGCGCCATGGTGTCGGGCACGCAGGCCAAGGCGGCCACGGGCTGCGGCCTCTTGACGCCTACGGCATCTTGCCCCTGCCGGGGGGGCTTGCCTGCGGCGCGGCGAGAGCGCGCCCTTCGGGCGCGCTCGCGCGAGCTGAGCCACTCATTCCCGTGTCAATGCTTCCCTCTGCACCGCTCGCGCGACGACAGCCATTTAATTTCCGTACGGCGGGGGAACCGGCACGCACAACTCACGCATATATATATGGATGAAATAGCAACTTGGCCAATGATGAAAAATCATCACTCCCACACATCTTGAACGGACCAATACAGAAAGTATTGGTTGATAGATTCAAAGCGGGCTGCCAAAGCGGGCTGCTCAGCGCTCGTTGCACCGCGGCCGGCGGCCTGCGCCTCGAGCTGCCCCGCCGGACCGTTGCGTCGCGGTCGGCGGCCCCGGCGCCATGGTGTCGGGCACGCAGGCCAAGGCGGCCACGGGCTGCGGCCTCTTGCTCATGGTCATGGGCGGCGCCCTCATCCCGGTCATCGAGGCGCTGCTGCGCGACGCCGTGCGCAACGCCGTCGTCATCGACAGCGACGACGAGTGGAAGGACGCCTACACGGGCCTGAGCAACGCCTACGACGCCTACGCGTGGAACTGCACGAACCTCGGCGCCGTGCTCGCGACCGGCGCGAAGCCGCGCTTCTCCGAGGTGAGCGTCGAGATGACGTACGTCGAGGAGAACTGGGACCTCGAGTGGGTCGGCGGCTGCAGCGACAAGGACCCGGACAAGTGCACGAAGTTCAAGTACAAGTCCTGGTGGAACTACTACGCCCAGGACGACGCCGCGGACGCGCGGATGGACCTCGAGGTCGTCGGCGTGAACCCCGTCTACCTGTCCGCGATCGCCGACTTCGGCGGCACGGAGTCGAACCTCTTCTACGGCCTCTCCTACGTCGTCGTCCAGAACGTCTGGCTCATCATGGACGGCGTCGTCGCGACGGTGCGCTACCAGGGCGTGCCCACGTACCTCAACGCCGTCGCCTACGTCCTGATGTCGTCCTACGGCGCGTTCTTCCCGGACTACGACGCGGTGGCGAACCAGTGGGGCACGCTCGGCGTCTTCTTCGGGTCGTCGCTCGCGGGCGTCGACCCGGCGATCACGACCTGGGAGCTCGTCACGAACGCCGCGGACGCGATCGCGCTCGAGGACGCGGAGGAGCTCTGGTCGACGACGTCCGCGTACTCCCTCGTCGCCGACGCGGCCTACCAGGCGACGTGGCTCGCGGCGCTCGGCGGCGACGCCGACGCGCTCGCGGGCTGCGAGGCCCACTTCGACAGCGGTACGGCGGCGACGGTGCTGACCTGGCTCGCGGCGCTCGTCGACAAGTCGAACCCGTACTACTTCGCGGCGATCATGCAGGGGCTGCCCCTCGACCCCGCCGCGGCGGCGCAGGTCTCCGAGTGGGACGACCTCGGCTACCTCCAGTTCGCCAACGGCACGGTGACCAAGGCCCTCTTCGGCGCGGACAGCGTGTTGCCGCTCGGCGCCGTCGACGGCCTCGTCGTCGTCCCGGAGTTCTCGGCCTACGCGGGCGTCGAGCTGACGCTCAACGAGTCCAAGGCCTTCTTCGACGTCTTCGGCGACGCGACGGCGTCGCTGGCGCTCGTCTACGGCCTCCTCGCCGCGCAGAGCGGCGACTTCTCGCTCTTCGTGGACCCGGCGTACCCGCCGACGGGCTTCTCCCTCGCGAACTACATGACCTACGCGGTCTACCTCTACGACTACCTGCCCAAGACCCTGTTCCTGAAGGGTTTTGTTATTGGCTACATGCGCGACGCGGCGACCGTCGCGGCGGACCCGACGGCGGCGGACGCGGCGTCGCTCTACTTGAACGCGGACGGCACGGGCCAGTTCAACAGCGGCCTCTTCTGCCGCCGGACGCTCCGGGAGCTGCTCTTCGGGTACCACGACCAGATCTTCAACCTCGTGCCCCCGGAGCTGAGCACGCGGGCGCTGGCGTACAACGGCGTGCTCGGATTTCAGTACGAGTCCCTGGCCGCGCAGGCCGCGACGGACCCGGCGCCGCCGCTGACCTACGGCAAGCACAGCGGCGCCGACGACCTGGACAAGATCTCGGGCTACTTCCTCTGGCGCGACGCGACGGAGATGGTCGACCGCGCGGACATCCCGAACAAGGACTCGTCCGAGTACTCGTGCGCGACGTACGCGCTCCAGGGCTTCGACATGTACCCCTCCGGCTTCGAGTCCTGCGACATCTTCATCGACACGGTCGTCGACCCGTCGGCGGGCGAGAGCCACACGAACCGCGTGCCGCCCTTCAAGGAGGAGGACCGCGTCGACTCGTACACGCTCTGGATCACGGAGGCGTTCCGCCACGTGACGATAGAGTACGACGAGGACACGGAGGTGCGCGGCATCGCCGCGCGCAAGTACGTCCTCGAGCCGACCCAGTTCTACACCGCGGACTGCGGCCTCGAGCCGGACCGGTGCAACGCCGACAACGCGCGGTACCGCATGGACGCGACGCCGTCCTACGTCGTGCCCATGGCCACGGCCCAGGGCGGCGCGCCCGTCGTCGTCGCCTTCCCGGCCCTCGGGCTCACGGAGGCTATCTGGCGCGACCCTTTTGATGGTTTGCCGGACTACGACGAGTCGAAGCACGGCACGTACATCGTCATCGAACCGCTCACGGGCGTCTTCATCGCGGGCCACCAGCGCCTCCAGTACACCTGGAGCCTGAACAGCGGCGTGCTGGACTCGGGCATCTGGTGGCACGTCTTCGACCGCACGGCGGCGACGAACGGCCAGCTCTACTGGCCCCAGGTCTGGCTCGACAAGAACGACAAGATCTCGCCGGCGCAGGCGCGCAAGTTCCGCAAGTTCATCTACGGCACGCGCACGCAGGCCCTCGCCTGGGCCATCATCATCGGGGCGCTGGGCCTCGGCCTCTTCGGCGTCGGCTGCTACGGCCTCTTCGCCGGCGGCGCCAAGGTCGCGCCGGGGTGATCTTAGCCGCGGCCGCGGGGTGTTTGTTGTTCGTCCGTCCCACCAACTTTGTGCCCCGCCCGCCCGCTAAGACCCCTGTGTTTTGATCGGCGGGGTCGCCGGGTCTCTGCATCCTCGGTGGGCTCGTAGGAGCTCGCGCGGGACGCCGGCGGTGCGGCGGCGCCGGGCGGCGCGGCCGCCGGCACTGAGCGGCGGCGCGGACGAGTATAGGCAGGTGTTCCGGCAGCGGCCGGCGTCGCAGCGCCTCCGCCGCGCCGCTCGACACGATGCCGTCGCGGCGCACGGTGCTCGTGTCCGTCGTCCTCGCGTTCCCGCTGCTGCTCGTGTTCCTGAACCTGCGCAAGGTGTTGCAGCAGACCTCCAGCCGCCAGCCCGCGCGGCTGCGGCGCGCCGGCGAGCAGCGCAACCGGACGCGCGCGACGCGCGACTTCGTCGCCGGCGTGCTGTCGACGCTCGGCGGCGACGCCGAGGACGACGGCGACGACGCCGTCGCGGAGTCGCTCGACGCCGTCGCCGCGGAGCGGCGCGGCGGCGCGGCGACGGAGCGAGCGTCGACGGACGTCGACGCCGCGGAGCGGCTCATCTCGCGCCTCGAGGCGTCCGCGGACGTCGCGGAGCGGCTCGTCGCGGACCAGCAATCCGGCGAGACGTCGCGCCACGCCGCGGCGGCCCTCGCCGTCGAGGCCGAGAAGCGCGAGAGCGAGAAGGTCGAGGTCGCCGCCACGGCGACGACGCGGCGCGAGGCGTCGCGGCACGCGGCCACGGAGCGGCCCATCCCCGAGCTGACCGTGTGCGCGCACGTCGACACGTACTCGCGCGTCGCGCACGCGAAGAAGGGCGACCACGACCCGCTCGAGCACGGGAACGCGAGCCTCTGCGTCGCGCCGCTTATCCAGCTCAAGGAGAAGCTCAAGGTGCGCCTGGTCCCCAAGGGCGAGTCCGGCGGGAAGCGCGCCTTCTTCCTCATGACGCAGGGCCTGCGGCAGCACCCGATGGTCGAGCTCGTGGGCGGGTCGCCGCGGTTCTGCGCGGATCGCGGCTACCAGCTCGACAAGGCGTCGCCCTGCGAGAAGGACATCGCGCAGATCGGCGCGTACCAGGCCGAGGCCGACGTCGCCATCATGCTCATGCCGGCGAACGACCCCAAGTTCTACAGCAGCGGCAAAATCCTCGCGTACTCGCCGTACCGCTGGGGCAACAACAAGAAGCTCGCCGCGGACCCCGTGGCGAACGTGGGCACCGTCGCGGGCTACGAGACCATCGCGCACGCCGACGAGAACCCGACGCTCTTCCGCTACGCGCCGCCCGTGCCCGCGAACCGCATGATCTTCGTCGACGAGGCGGACTGGTCGAGCTCGCACGGCCACGTCCGCGACGACGCGGCGTCGTACCTGGCCTACTTCAAGCGGTCCTGGGTCCAGAAGGACGGCAAGGCGTCGCCGGTGCGCGCGGCGGGCCAGCGGCACAAGAAGTCCAAGTCCTACTTCCCCATGCCCTACTCGCTCGCCGACGAATACGTCGACTCGGCGAAGCTCGGCGACGTCGTCGGCGAGCGGCCCATCGACGTCGTCTGCACGCTCCGCGACACGCGCGGCGGCCGGGGCCGCGTCCTGCCCTGGCTCCGGGAGTACGCGAAGGCGAAGCAGCTGGAGAACTACCGCCTCGGCCAGCTCTCGTCCGCGGGGCGCACGGTCATCGACGCGGGCTACCTGTCGACGATGCGCCAGGCCAAGGTCGTCGTGACCTGCAACCCGACGGGCTGGGAGGGCGACTTCCGCTTGTTCGAGGCGCTGAGCTCGGGGGCGCTCGTCATGGTCGACCGCATGGGCACGCCGTACCACCACCCGTTGATCGACGGCGAGCACGTCGTCTTCTACGACCACACGAACAAGACGGACCTGCTGGAGAAGCTGGACCACGCGCTCAAGCGGCCCCACTGGGCGCGCAAGGTCGGCGTCAAGGGCTACGCCCACGTGCTCCGGCACCACCGCGCGGTGTCGTGGGTCGACTACTTCCTGAGGACCGCGCACGCGAAGATGCTCGCGGAGCGGGGCGTCGTCGCGGACTACGTGGAGACGGGCCAGGCCATCCTCGCGCGCACGGAGCTCCCGGACGCCGACGGATCCGTCAACCGCGACTTCGTCACGAAGCACGAGCACGGCGCGCTCCACTACGCCGCGGCCGAGTTGCTCGACGACGACACGCTCGCGCTCGCGGACATTTAATATTAGAGCGGCGTGAAGTCGGCGCCGCCGGCGTGCCACCACTGCGCGGGCCGGCCGTACGTGTCGAAGGCCCACCACTGGCGCCAGTAGTCGTCGACGCCGTCGCGCAGGAAGAGCGTCAGCACCCACTTCTCGCCCGATTTCACCTCGCAGCCCGCGTGCCGCGTGAGGCCGCCGTCCATGAGGTGGAGGCTCGGGCTGGATTCGCGCTCGTCGCGGTAGCCCAGGAAGAGCGCGCTGCCGGGCGCCGGGGACTGGGGCCGCACGCCCGCGCCGGGGAAGACGACGTCGCCGCCGGCCGCCGCCGCCTCGCAGTAGACGACGACGGACGCGACGCGGCCGCCCGGGAGGTAGGGCGTCCCGTCGCAGGACCCGTCGCAGTGGCCCGGGTAGGCGTCGCCCGGACCGTAGCGCACGACGTTCAGGGGCTCCTGGCCTCCGCCGTAGCGCAGCGCGTCCGGCAGCCCCAGGATGCCCACGGCCGCCTGGGCAGGAAAAGGGTGCGAAATTCCCAACTTCAAAGGCTCCTATCTCGGTCGTTTTCCGCTCGTTTTGGCTGATTTTTGGACGAGCGATCATCTCTCGGGACGGTCTCGAAGCGTGGGTGCTGTTTCCGAAACGCGCGCGCGCGGAACACTCACGTTGAAGCGACGTTGAATCACCCTTTTCCTGCCCTGACGGCCGCGTCGCGCGCGCGCTGCGCGACGCGCGCGGCGACCTCGTCGCCGTCGGGCGGCGCCGCGCTCGACGACCGCCGCAGGGTCGCGTCGAGCGCGCCGCCGGCGGCGCTCACCGTCGCCGCCGTGAGGTTGTGCATCGTCGCGGCCTTGAGGTGCGCGCACTCCTTCTCGGTCGCGAAGCCGTCGACGAGCACCGCCGCGGCGCCCGTCCCGTTGACGAGCGTGCGGCGCCGCGCGCCGTCGGCCGGCGGCGGCGCCGACGCGCAGGCTTTGTCGACCCAGGCGTCGGCGAGCGCCTCCTTTTTCGCGCGCGCGGTCCTAGTCTCCCGGATCGCGAACGCGAGGAGCGGCTCCGCGCGCTTGGCCACGCACCGGACCCAGGGCGCGCCCTCGAGGTCCTCCGCGACGACGGCGTCCATGGCGCCGAGCGCCGCGGCGGCCTCGAAGACGAGCGCCGCGCCGCGCTCGTCGCAGTCGGCGATCGCGTCGACGGCCGAGTCGCGGTCGCGGTCCGACGTGCCCGCCGCCGCGAGGCCCGTCGCGCTGGTGCCCGACCGCATGGCCTCGCCGGCCTCGAGCTCCAGGAGCAGCGACCCGCGCAGCTCCGCGAGCCAGCCCGCGAGCCGCTGGGCGACGCAGCCCAGGGCCGCCGTCGTGTCCACGGGGCCCGGCGACGGCCCGCTCAGGGCGCCGAGGCAGCCCTTCGCCATGAGCGCCACGGCGCGCTTGCCGTGCAGCCGCGCCAACAGGACCTCGTCGGGCTCGTCGGCGGCGAGGGCCATCGTAGCGAGGAGGAGCCCGGCCTTGGCAGCCATCATCATCTGAGACTGCAACGATTTGTGTGAGGTCCTGTTTTTGAGCGATTTGACTCGAGGCGACTCGAGACGCGTGGCAAGCCTCGACGCATTCGACGCCGACCGTCGAGTCCCCTCGCCGCCGCCAAAAACCACACGATGCGCCTGCTCGTCGCCCTCGCGGCCGCAGCCCTGTCGTCGGCGTTCGTCGTCGACGACCTGAACCCGGACAACTACGTCCCGATAACGTCGCACAACAAGGCCATCCTCAAGGCCGTGATCCGCTTCATGGTCGACGGCGACGAGAACGAGGTGCTCGACAACACGTGGCGGAAGCTGTCGCGGGAGATGAAGAAGAAGTGGCAGCTCCTCATCGGGACCGTGTGGTGCGGCGGGAAGGGCCAGCCGATCTGCGAGTACATGGGCATCACGGGCACGACGATCGCCTGGGGCGACCCCTGGGACCTCAAGCCCCTGCCGGAGCGGTTCGAGGGCCGGGCGGGCTACAAGTACGTCCGCGCGTTGATCGATGAAGAAATCCAGCCCTTCTGCGCGACGGAGCACGAGGAGTGGTGCAGCGACGAGATGCTCGAGTACAAGAAGGTGCTCGAGGGGAAGAGCGACGAGGAGCTCGACAAGCTGATCGCCTTCCAGACGACGGACGTGCAGCTCATGAGCAAGGTCTACAATTCGGAGTACCAGGGGAAGCAGAGCGACCTGCTGCGGAAGGAGGAGGCGCTCGGCCAGGCCTACCAGGACCTCGTGATCCCCGCGCGCGCGCGGCTCGCGCTCATGAAGGAGATCCTCGAGGTCAAGAGCGAGCGCAGCGCGGCGATCTAGGGGCCGACGGCCGCGGCGACGGACGCGCGGTCGATTCGTCGACGGCTCCGGGCCGCCGCGGCGACGGCGCGCGCTCGGGAATAAAACGCGGCGATTTAGTTCGGGTACATGAGCTCGAGGGCCTGGAGCTTCTCCTTGGCCTGCTCGTACTTGAGCAGGAGCTTCTCCATCTCGTCCTTCGGCGGGTCGCCCGGGAGCTCGGGCCGCGGCGACGCGGCGGCGGGCGGCGCGGGCTCCGCGCGCGCGGTCCGCGGGCTCGGGAGCCTCGGCGACGGGACGCGGGGCGACGGCGCCGGCGGCGCCGCGGCGCGCTGCATGGACTCGAGGAGCTGGACGTAGGCGCGCGCGGCGCGCGCGAGGTCCTCGAGTTCGACGTCGGGGGGCCGCGCGCGCTCCGCCTCCGCCGTCGCCTTCGCGAGGAGCTCGGCCGGCGGCTCGTCGCGGGGCGCGTTGGCGGCGGCGACGAGGTCCTGTCTCTCGCGGGCCCAGGCCTCGCGCTCGGCCTCGAGCGCGCGCTCCGCGTCGTCCGCGCGCCGCTCGGCCGCGGCCGCGCGCGCCGCGGCCGCCGCGGCCTTCTCCTCGTGGACGCGCTGGGACGCGCGCGCCGACGCGACGCGCTCCGCCTCGGCGTGGAGCAGCGCCTCGATGCGCTGGAGCTCCATGTGGCTCCGCTGGATGCGGTCCATGGCCTGGGCCCGCTCGCACTTGATGGCCCGGTCGAGGTGCACGAGGAGCAGCGACGACTCGGGCGTCGCCAGCGCGTCGTCGCCGCCGGCCCCGCGCACGCCCAGGCCCGGCAGGTACGCCGGCAGCTCCGGCGCGTCGCGCCCGGGCGACGCCATGGGCGCCGGTTGCGGCGTTCGCGTTTGAGTAGGGGCTGCCCCAAAAAGCCGTGGTTGACATGCAATTTCCTGATTGTCAAAATTACCGATTTTACACGGTCGATCTTGTCCAACATTATTATCAACATTGTTGGACAAGCGTGGCGACGACCGGCGTTCCTGGGGCGCGTCGGAGACCGCGGCGCCGTCCCGATTCCGGAGCGGGCGCGCGTCCTCGCTCGACGGCGCGGCGCCGAATAAAAACCTGCATGAGCACCGCGGGCGAGGGTGAGCCGCCCCGGGAGCGCGAGCCGGCCGCGGGGCAGCCCCCGGACGACGAGGCGGCGCGGGACGAGCCGGCGAAGGTGTCGCCGCCGGGGGGCGAGGAGCGCCGCATCGACATGCCCGAGCCGAGCGACGACGCCGCGCCGAAGAAGCGCAAGGCCGACGGCGGCGCCGCGGCGGACGCGGCCGCCGCGCCCGGCGACGGCGCCGAGGAGGAGGACGGCGGCGACAAGAAGCGGAAGAAGAAGGCGGAGCCGCGGCGGTGGACGCAGGTCGAGGACGCCGCGCTCTGCGTCGCCGTGAAGCAGCACGGCGAGTGCAACTGGAAGTCCATCGCCGCGGCGGTCGGATCGCGGAACCACATGCAGTGCCTCCAGCGCTGGAAGAAGGTGCTGAAGCCGGGCCTCGTCAAGGGCAACTGGACGCGGTCCGAGGACGAGACTTTAGCGCGGCGCCTCGAGGTCGCGGCGAGGGACCCCAACGGCATGCAGCGCGTCGACTGGCCGGGCGTCGCGAGCCTCCTGCCGCTCCGGTCCGCGCGCGAGTGCCGCGAGCGCTGGAAGTACTGCCTGTCGCCCCTGGCCCACGGCCACCGCGACGCCGCGGGCCGCGAGGCCTACGGCGAGGGGCCCTTCGGGGGCTACCCGCCGCCCCACGCGCCGCCGCCCTACGGCCGCTACGCGCCGTTCGGCCGGCCGCCGCCGGACGTCGGGCCCCCCGAGTTCCCGCCGGGCGCGCCGCCGCCCGTCGGCCGCGACGGCGGGCCCCGGCCGCCGCCGCCCCACCCCTACGGGCCCTACGGCCGCTACGGCGAGGACTACGCCGGCGGGGACCCCGGCGACGCGCGGTGGCGCGACGCGCTCGCCGCGGATCTCGAGAAGCGGCTCCTGGAGCAGCGGGCCGTCGTCGACGGCATGCTCCGGGAGGTCGCGCTGCTGCGCCGCGGCCGGGACCAGCCCTGGCCCGCCGACGGCCGGCCGCCGGAGGCCGAGGCCGCGCCGCCGGCCGACGGCGCCGCGGGCGCCGCGCCCGCGACGAGCCGCGACCGCGTGTCGTCCGCGCTCGAGGTCGTCGCGCGCGCGGCCCGCGGCGAGGACCGGCCGCCGCCGGACGACGACGCCTACCGCCGCGGCGCGCCGGCGCTCTCCTTCAGCCCGCCGGGCGGCCACGACGCGGCGCGGGACCTCGCGCCGCCGAGCATGAGCCCGCTCGGCGACCTGGGCACGCTCGGCACGTCGCCGCGGCTCCCGGGCGACGGCTACCCGCGCTACGGCGCGCCGCCGCCGGGCGGCGGCCGCGACGCCTACGGGGGCCGCTACGGCGGGTCGCCCTTCGGGTCCGCGCCGTTCCGGGGCCTCGCGCCCGCGGGCGGCACGCCGTCCATGGAGGACGAGTCGCCGTCGTTCATGTACTCCCAGATCGCGCCCCTGCTCCACTCGCCGGCGAGCCCGCCGGGCTCGGGCTTCTACTACTCGCCGCACCTCGCGCCGCAGCCGCCGCGCCAGCTGAACCACGGGCCGTCGCCGTCGGGCTCGACCGCGTCGCTCGGCTCGCGGCGGAGCCCGCCGCCGCCGCGCCGCGAGCTCGGCGACGACGCGCCGCCGCCCGCGGCGGCCCTCGTCGACTTCGCCGACGCCGCGGCGTCGGCCTCCTGAATTTCTTGTCGTCCCTGCAACCCCCCTGAATTTCTTGTCGTCCCTGCAACCCCCTTCGCTTCGCCGTGTCCCCGCCCCGCGTCCCGCGGCGCGACGCTCCCCACACGAGCCTTACTGCTTCTGCGCCGGGGGGAGGCCGTCGTGCGCCATGGTGGAGTAGTCCTTCATGCTCGTGTCGAGGGCGTCCTTGAGCGTCGGCCGCGGGTCCTCCATGTCCGGGTAGTAGATCTGGGCCATGAAGCGGACGCAGCCGAGGGGGTCGTTGCCCGCGCAGTTGACGACGAAGGCCTCCTCGCCGGCCTGGGGCGGCCAGTCGAGCTCGCGGATGGGCACGATGGCGCCGTTGTTGAAGAGCAGCGCGCGCTGGAGCTGCGCGGGGTGCTCGAGCGCGACGACGCCCTCGAAGAGCGAGTTGTCGTCGTAGGTGGCGCCGCACAAGGCCCACTGGTCGCCGCAGCCGCCGACCGTCGCGCAGTTGCAGGCCGTGCCCGACGTGCCGTCGTAGGTCTTGTCGCTGAAGTCCAGGATCGTCCGCACGAGCGACCGCGCGTCGGCCGTGTTCTGCCAGAGCATCGCGCCCGAGTTGAAGTTCTCCTCCAGCACGTCCGTGGTGACGTCCGTCGTGACGTAGTCCGAGCCCGCGGAGATGACGAGCTTCGTGTCCGAGTTTTTGAGGTCGCCGCTGGGCACGAGGCCGTCGAGCGCGGGGCTGTTCGGCACGAAGACGGCGTCGCCGTCCGTCGCGAAGACCCAGGCGCAGGTCCCGCCGGCGGCGTTGCCGCCCTCGGCGTGGGCGCCGCCGGTGAGCATGGCGTCCTGGATGGCGCAGTACTTGTAGGCGACGTTCGTGAGCGAGCACGCGTAACTGGCGCTGCCGTCGCAGCACGTCGGCGCGTCCGCGTAGTGGAGCAGGCGGTAGCCGTGGTCGGCGGCGTAGGCCTCCTTGCCGGGGAACGTGTAGGCCGACACGTCGAGGAACTCGTCGCCCGCGGCGACGTGCACGAGGCAGACGTCGCCGTCCTGCTGCACGCCGTCGAGGGACGCCGTCGTCAGGCCCAGGGGCTGCGTGCCCACGGCGACGGCGGCGACGCAGAGGCCCGCGAGGCCCAGGGACAGGCCCAGCTTCATGAACCGCGGCGGCGCGTCCTCCTGCGCCACGGACGGGAGCGTGCCGTAGGACGGCATGGCGGTGTGTTTGTGCCGAGGCCGTGTGTCTCCTTCGAGACGAGCCGAAGCATCTAGAATTTCGGAGATCGTGGTTATCGATGCAGTTGTAAAAATGCTCAACAAGAGCTCGCTAAACTTAGCCTAAAGCTTGCGGCAAGGCCTCGAGAGGCGGTGGCGCAGTGCGGCCGCACCAACCGAGCCGCAGCGCTTTGCCACGCGATGCTGCGCCTGCGCGCCCGACCGCTGTGCTGCGCCTTGCTGGCGCGCGCCGGCGCCGTGCGCATGGGCGGCGGCGGCGCGCGACGGCGCGTCGACGCGCCGGCGCCGGCGCCGAGCGCCGACGTCGACGTGCCCGCGGCGCCGCCCGCGACGCTGCGGAGCGTCGACGCGCCGGCGCCGGCGCCGAGCGCCGACGTCGACGTGCCCGCGGCGCCGCCCGCGACGCTGCGGAGCGCTCTCAAAATCATGTTCGACCCCGTGGGCCGCGGCAAGGAGCGCGCGCGCACCGTCGAGTCGCGGCCGCCGTCGGACCCCATGGTCTACACGCACGTCGCGTTCCTGCCGGCCGTCGGCGCCGCGGCGTCGACAGGCCTCTACGAGCTCGCGGTCCTCCAGAGCGCCGTCCTCGGCGCGAGCCTCGCCTACCACGCCACGGGCGAGCGGCCGGGCGCGCTGGCCAAGGTCGAGGGGTCCCTCGCGAAGGCGCTCTTCGCGTACGGAGCGCTGCAGACCTTCGCGAACGCGCCGCCGGACCTCTTCGCGTGCGAGGCGGCGCTCGCCGCCGCGACGCTCGCGGCGTTCCTCGTGACGAACCTGCGGCCGGAGACCTACGAGGCGTGGCACCCGCTCGGGCTCCACGTGCTGCCCGGCGTCTGGTCCTGCGTCGTCGCCTGCCGCCACGACTCGCTCCTGGCCCTGCTAAGCTAGGACGCACGCAGCCGCTCGCAAAGGTGCCGGGGCACGCAAGGAGCGTCGACCAAGCGAACGTTAGGACGCGCGCAGCCGCTCGAGGAGCGTCTCCTTCGCCGGGGAGCCCCGCGGCACGACGGCGTTGAGGCCGCGCGCCTTGCATCGCGCGCGGAGCTCCTTGACGGGGAGCGACGCGAGGTCGTCGCCGAGCGGCGCCGAGGGCGCCGCGGGCGCGGCGGCGACCGCCTCCGCGTCGGCCGCGACCGCGACCTCGTCGAAGATCATGGGCCGCGCGACGTGGCAGAAGCACCACTTGCGGTCGCAGTGCGGGAACGCCGCCGGGTCGTTCTCCGCGACGCGCGCGTGGATGTCGGCCCAGACGCTCCGCAGATCGTCCTGGACGCCGTCGAGCACGCGCCGCCGCGCGTCGGCGTCGGCCGGGAGCGCCTCGTCGACGGCCTCGGCCGCGTCGCCGCCGAGGTAGAGCAGCCGGAGCTCCGCGACGCGGTCGCTCGTCGAGTAGAGGCCCGCGTCCTGCTCGAACTGGCGCTCGAGCATCCAGGCGTAGATGCGGAGCTGGAAGAGGGCGCGGTCCTCGAGCTCCGCCTTGAGGGCCGGCGGGTAGTAGGCCTTGGAGCCCGCGGACCTGCCCGTCTTGTAGTCGACCTGGGTAGCAAAAGAGAGCGAAATTCCCAACTTCAAAGGCTCCTAGCTCGGCCGGTTTCCACTCGTTTCGGCTGATTTTTGGACGAGCGATCATCTCTCGGAACGGTCTCGAAGCGTGGATGCTTTTTTTCGGAACGCGCGCGCGCGGAAAACTCACGTTGAAGCGACGTTGAATCACCCTTTTGCTGCCCTATAGTCGACGACGCGCAGGCCGCCGTCGAGCGCGTCGAGGCGGTCGAGCTTGCCCACGACGACGAGGGGCGGCAGGCCGCCCTCGACGGCGACCTCGCCCTCGAGCCACTCCTCGTTGGCGACGACGCGCGCGTCGAGGTCCGCGTCCGCGGGATCCTCGAAAGCGACGTAGTTCCGCAGCAGCTGGAAGCTCTCGAGCCCCCAGTCGCGCTCCGCGTCGCGGTCGCCGAAGAGGGGCGGCGACGCGCCGAGATACGACCCGCGCACGTTGCGCCACTCCTCGCGGAACGCCGCCTCCAGGTTCTCCGGCGTCCGCTCCTCCGCGGGCCGTTCGAACATGCGCTCGAGCACGAGGTGCACGAGCGAGCCCTTGACGAGCGCCGGCGACGGCGGCTCGGGCAGGCGCCAGAGGTTCCTAAACAAGAACAACTGCTCGCACTCGCGAAACGTCGTCGCCGCCGTCGGCGACAGGCGCTTGGGCATGCGCAGCGGGCTCGTGCGCTTCGCGGCGCCGGCGGCGCGGATGCGCTCGAGCGACGCGTCGTCGAGGGTCGTCGCTTTGCAGGCGGTGCTCGCGGCGCGCCGTTGCGCGCGTTGCAGCGCGACGGCGCCGCGGACGGCGAGCAACATCGTCGACAGGCGAAGGCCCATCGGCTGCTCCACTCCGATCGAGGCTCGCCGGTTGCCACTGTCACCAGCGTCGGCGTCGGCGCGCGCGTCGTCGCAGCGCTGCGCAAGCTCCCACTGCTCCTCCGCTCGAGCGCATCGGTCGCATCGATCGCAGCGATCGCCGGAACGGAACGATGCTGCCGCCGGACCCGTGCATCGAGGACTGGACGGGCCCCGGCCTGCCGCCGCGCTACCAGCTCCCCGGCGCGCCCATGTACCCCGACGGCGCGCCGTCGGTCTTCGTGACGGGCGGCAGCAGCGGCATCGGCTACGCGCTCTGCCGGTCGCTGGCCCTGGACCACGGCTTCCGCGTGTTCATGGGCTGCCGCGACGGCGACGCGGGGAGCCGCGCGGCGATGCGGGTCGAGGACGAGGGCGCGTACTGCGAGAACATCGAGATCGACGTCACGGACGACGACGCCTGCGAGACCGCGGCCGTCATGGTCCAGTCGTTCCTGGGCTTCGAGCCCCTGACGTGCCTCGTGAACTGCGCGGCGGTCGGCCACGCGACGTGCTCCGACGGCGCTAAAATCGTCGACGTCAACCTGCGCGGCGCGAAGCGCGTCTGCGACGCCTTCCTGCCCATCATGGACGAGCGCTTCGGCCGCGTCGTCAACGTCGGCGCGGGCGGCGGCGCGGGCTACGTGGAGACCTGCGAGGACGTCGCGCGCCGGCTCCTGACGTCGCCGGACGTGCGGTGGGACGACGTCGAGGCCTACGCCCGGGGCGCGCTCGCGGCGGAGGTCCACGACGACCAGGGCTACGGCCTCTCCAAGGCCTGCCTGGCGGCGTTCACGCTCTGCCTCGCGCGCGAGCACCCGAAGATGCTCAGCGTGACGGCGCACCCGGGCGTCTGCGGCGGCACGAAGATGAACCCGGGCGCCGCCGACCGGACGGCCGAGGACGGCGCGAAGAGCGTCGCGTTCTGCCTGCTCGCGGAGCGCCTCAAGCTCGGCAACGGCTTCCTCTACGGGCCCGACGGCCTGCGGTCGCCGCTCTTCGCGGCGCGCGACGCCCTGTGTGGAAACCAACCACCGGTTTGGGTGGTCCTGACCAAACTTGAGAATTCTCTAGCTCGGTCAAATCGAAGTCGATTCGGCTGATTTTTGGACGGATCGATTGATCTTGTCGAGTTCTCGAAGCACAGCGAAAAGACTTAGTCTGGTCCAAATCGTTCGATTACGCTCACGTTGAAGTCGGGTTGAAGATTTGGTTTCCACACAGGCGACGCCGGCGCGCCCGAGTACGCGGGGCCCGTCATGGCGCCGAAGCGGTCGCCGCGCGAGGCCGAGCGCGTCGCGCGCGCGCGCCAGGACGCCGAGGACGCGCGCAACGCGCTCCTCCTCGAGAAGGCGCGGCAGGACGCGGAGCAGGCCGAGCGCGCGCGCGCCGAGGCCGCGGCCGCGGACGACGCGGAGGTCGTCGAGCTGCTGCCGCCGGCGAAGGACGCGAGGTCCGCGGCGACGACGAAGCCCGCCGCGCCCGTGTCCTTCGACGCGGCCATGCGGGGCAAGCTGCTGCGGACACCGGCGCCCGCGGCGCCCGCGGCGCCCGCGGCGCCGCCGGAGCCGGAGTTCGCGGTCCCGGACGTCATCCCGGGCGTCCAGGAGGCCCTCGACGACATCGCGCACCTGCCCCAGATGCCGCTCGACGAGTTCGCGAGGACCGTCGAGTCCTATCGGACCGCGCTGCCGCCGCCCGGCGCGCCGCCGCCCGCCGCCGCGGCGCCCGCCGCCGCGGAGGAGCCGCCGCCCGCCGCGGAGGAGCCCCCGCCCGCCGCGCCGCCGGCGCCCGCCGAGGCCGAGGAGGCGCCCCGGGGCTGGTTCTTCCGGCGGTCGTCGAAGCGGGCGGACCCGAAATCCTTCGAGGCCGCGATGAAGGGCTCGATCCTCAAGAACCCGAGCGTCCTCGACCGGCCGCCGGAGCCGCCGACGCCGCCGCCGTCCGACGAGCCGACGGCCGCCGAGGTCATGCGCGCCGAGCGGAGCCTCGACACGCTCGAGAAGATCGCGGGCCGGCTGCCGCTGAAGCCGCGCGCGCCGCGCGGCGACGACTGGGTGCCCAACCAGGGCCGGCCGAACGAGGAGCCGCCGCCGCCGAGCTTCGTCTCCGGCGAGCGCTGCCCGGAGACGACGGAGGCCGACGACGACGTCGAGCCCGCGGCGCCGCCGGAGGCGAAGGAGATCCCGCGCGGCCCCTTCTCCGGCCAGCCCGTCGGGGGCGGCGCGCCGCCGGACCCGGAGAAGGCCGCCGCGACGCGCGCGGCCATCGCCGCGCTCGACCGGAGCCTCGGCCCCGCGCCGGGCGCGACGCGCCTCCCGCGGCCCGCGTAACCTGGATTTACATCGTCGTGGGGTTGCAGGGGGCCGCGTCCACGGACGAGTGGAGCGTCGTGAGGATCTTCTCCTCGTAGGCGAATTCGTTGAGGACGATGTCGCAGCCCTCCTTCGACGCGCAGTAGAGGTTGCGGATGCCGCAGTAGTTGGACGCGTCGTCGGCGTAGGAGTGGCTCTGCGTCTCGCCGCAGGCCGTGACGACGCAGCCCGGCGGGTGCGCCTTGGACTTGGCCGAGAAGTCGATGTTCGTCGGTTTGAAGTAGAGGCCGAGCGCGTCGTCGCCGCGCGTGAGGCGGAGCGTCGTCCGCGCGCCCTGCTCGTCGCGGTCCGTCGGCGCGTCCTCGTCGCCCGTGATCTCGTAGCCGCCGTAGACGTGGACGCGCTCCTTCATCTCCGCCTTGACGGCCGCGCAGCTGTCGACGGCGAAGGTCGTCTCCATCACGGTCTTCGAGTGGACGCTCGACCCCGAGCCGGGGCACATGTCGACGTAGGCGACGGCGCCGGGGGCCCCGAGGAGGGCCAGGAGCAGGGAGAGCTTCATGGTCGAGGACGGGACGGAGAATTTTGGGCACGACGAACAGGGGCTGCCCAAGGGAGAGCTTCACGGCCGAGGACAAGACGGAGAGCTTGGGCACGACGAACAGAGCTGCCCGAGGACCGTTCAGCGGCAACTTCTCATTCAACCATCGCAAACGGTCTCCACAAGCAGCACTGCTCCGCCTGCGCGGCGCCGCGCACGCGGGCCATGAACACGCTCAACAAGCTCCAGGGCTACCTGGAGGAGAAGGTCATCGCGCCCGTGGGCCTGGACAACCTGGCGACGCCGGACGAGCCCGACGACGCGGCGCGCGCGGCGGCGGCGCGGCGCTTCGCGAAGACGGCCCTCGAGGAGTCGGCGCCGGACCTGACGGCGGCCACGGCCGACGACGTGCGCAACGAGCTGCTCGGCGCCGTCGCGGCCGCGCGGACGGCGGCGCCCGCGGCGCCGGCGCCGGAGCCGTCCGCGGGCGACGTCGCGCTCGTATCGGAGGTGCGCAAGCTCCGGAAGGAGGTCGGCTCGCTCGCCGTCGACCTCGAGGCGGCGGAGCGGGAGTGCGCGGACCGGCGCAAGGAGGCGAACGACGTGCGGCGGGACCTCGCGGAGGCGCGGCGCGCGGTCGGCAACGAGGGCGCCGCGGGCCGCGAGCGCGAGGCCGCCTTAGCCGCGGACCTCGCGGACGCGCGGCGCGCCGTGGAGAAGATGACGGCGCTGGCGACGGAGGCGAAGCGGAGCGAGGAGAAAGCCAGAACCGACGTCGAGGCCGAGCGGCGGCGCGCGGCCGACGCGGACGCGGCGCTCGCGGCCGAGCGCGAGCGCCTGTCGCGGCGCGAGCGGGATTTGGGCGCCGCGTCGGCGTCGTCGGGCCGGCGCGAGGCGGCCCTGACGTCCGAGGTCGCGGGCCTCGCGCGGGCGCTCGAGGAGTCGAGGCGCGCGCCCGCGCCGGCCGCGGCCGCGCCGGCCGCGTCCGAAGTCGCGGCGCTCCGCGCGCGCGCGGAGCGCGCGGAGGCGTCGCTCCGGACCGAGCGCGCGGCGCGCGCCGCCGCCGACGGCGGCGGCGACGCCGTCGCGCGCGGCGTCGCCGAGGCCCTCGAGGCCGCGCGCGAGGCCGCGGCGGCCGCGACGCGGGAGAAGGACGCGCTCGCGGCTGAGCTCGCGGACGCGGCGGCGGCGCGCGCGGACGCGGACCGGCGGAGCGCCGACGACCGCGAGGGCCTCGAGGCGCGCGTGCGGACCCTGGGCGCGCGGCTCGAGACCGCGGAGAAGCGCGCGGCGGCGCCGAGCGCGCGCGAGCCCGGCGGCGAGAACCGCACGGCGCTCGCGGCGCAGATCCTCAAGAAGCAGGCGCTGCTCGACGACGCCCTCGCGGCGAAGCGGGCGTTGGACGGCCGCCTGAGCGCCGCGCGCCGCGACAACGACGCGCTCCGCGCGCGGCTCGACGGCTTGCGCGACGACGGCATGGACCCCGCGGGGCCCCGGCGCCTCAAGCAGACGCTCAAGATGCACCGGGCCCACCCGGCGTCGGCCCAGTACAAGGTCGGCGGCTTCCTCGACGACGTCGACCAGTTCATGGTCCGGACGCTGCGCCTCCTGAACAGCGCGCCCGTCTTCCGCCTCGTCTTCTTCACCTACCTCGTCCTCCACCACGTCTACATGTTCCTCGTCATCTGCTTCCACCAGCGGCACCTCGAGCAGCACCACGGCGACGACGCGGCGCGGCCGAACCTGCGCGGGGGCTAGTAAAATGGCGAAATTCGCACTTTATATCTTCAACAACCGCTTGGCCAGACATAAAACCCGTTGCTAGGCAGCCCTCGTCGGTTCCTGCCCTGTCCGTCGGCCGCGCGTCGCGTCTCCGCCATAACTCTTCGCGCCGCCGCCGCTCGCTAGACCATGCCCGAGGCGGACTACCGCACGGTGGAGAAGCTCGGCAAGGGCGCCTTCTCCCAGGTCTACAAGGTCGAGCGCCGCGCCGACAATGCCATGCGCGGCACCGGCGCCCGCGGGGGCGGCGACGCCGCGACGCCGCCGCCGCGCGCCCGCGCCGACCGCGGCTGCCCCAGGTACGCGTGCAAGCGCATCGACATCTCGAAGATGCAGAAGAACGAGATCGCGGACGCCGTGAACGAGATCCGCGTGCTCGCGTCGATCCGCCACCCGTTCATCGTCGGCTTCTACGACTCGTTCCTCGCGAAGCGCGAGCGCGAGCTCTGGATCGTCATGGAGATCTGCGCCTGCGGCGACCTCGCCTCCAAGGTCGAGCGCTACCGCAAGAAGCGCAAGCGCGCCGCCCGCGCGCTACCCGGCCGCGCCGCGGCCCTCAACCCCCCCGCCGCCGCGCAGGTACATGGACGAGCGCGTCGTCTGGAGCCACCTCATCCAGATGGCCGAGGGCCTCAACTGCCTCCACGAGCAGAGCATCGTCCACCGCGACCTCAAGGCCGCGAACATCTTCCTCGCGGAGGACGGCTCCGTGAAGATCGGCGACCTCAACGTGTCGAAGCGCATGAAGCAGGGCAACCTGCTGCGCACGCAGATCGGCACGCCCTACTACATGTCGCCCGAGGTCTGGCTCAACAAGCCCTACGGCATGTCGAGTGACATCTGGGCGCTCGGCTGCCTCGTCTACGAGCTCTGCGCGCTGCGGCCGCCCTTCGTGGGCAACACCTTCGCCCAGCTCAAGCAGGGCGTGCTCGTCGGCAAGTACCCCGCCGTGCCCCGCGCCTTCTCCTACGAGATGAGCGCCATGATCGCGAAGATGGTCCGCGTGAACGCGCGCGAGCGGCCGTCCGTGAAGCAGATCCTCGGCTCCGAGGACGTCAAGGCGCGCAAGGCGAGCGACTGGTACAAGGAGCCCGCGGCCATGCCCCGCCAGGCGTCTCAGGGCAAGCAGCAGCTCATGGACACCATCGTCGTGCCCCACCACATCCGCAACCTCCAGAAGGAGCTGCCGAAGCCGTGCTTCCCCGACACGCGGCCGAACTCGCCCGAGGTCTGGCCCGTCGGCGCCGAGGGCCCCAGCGGCGCGCCCCGCGACCAGGCCGTCGCCCAGAAGGCCGCCAACGACAAGGACCGGGGCGGCCGGGCGCCGCCCACGGACCGCGCGCCCGGGACCGCGATGCCCATCCAGCCCAAGGGCTCCGCGGCGCAGCTCCACGCGGAGCACCGCGCGCCGGCGCCGAGCCAGAACCCCTACCGCCAGCCGAGCGTGAACAAGTACGCCGGCGGCTACGGCCAGCCCAGCCGCGGGCCCAACGTCAAGACCGCGGCCTCGGCCTACGGCGGCGCCGCGGCCCCGCCGCGCAAGCCCCTCGCGAGCCAGGCCTCGAACCGCAACCGCGCCGCCGGCTACAACCGCCGGTCCAGCGGCTACGGCTACCGCTAGGCGCGCGAGCGCCCCGAACGGCAGTCGCCCGACCGGCCGCGCCGCCGAAGGCCCGGCGGCGCGCCGCGACGCGCGCGCCAGACACCGCCGCCCACTCCCGACCGCGTCCCGCGGGGCGGGCGCGAGAAGATCGCTCCCGCGCCGCTTTTCCTCCTCCCCGCACGAACCTCCATTCGCATTCTTCGTCTGAGCTCATTATTCTTAGTGGTATTGGTTCTGCGGGGGCGACATTGCGGGGATTCGGCGCCGCGGGCGGACCTAGCCACCCTTCCTCTTCAACGACGGCGGCGGCGGCTTGTGGATCGACTTCCGGCTGTGGTCGGTGCCAATCCAGGCGACGGCGACGTGGACGTCCTCGGGCGAGTCGCGGCACGTCGCTTTGGGCCGCGCGCCGATGAGGATGATTTCGACGTGGTCGTGCGCGACCATCTGTTTGCCGCCCGGGAGGAGCGTCTTGTCGCGGCACGACGCCTCGTCGAGCGTCGAGTTCGCCTCGTACAGGTCGCAGCGGCGGACGACCATGTTGTGGACGTTCGTCGCCGCGGAGCGGATCTCGAGCACCTTCGTGCGGCCCGGCCGGAGCCAGAGGTCGCGGCGCGCGAGGCACGGCGCGCGGTCCGCGATGACGGCGACGCGCGTGTCGTTGCCCCGGAGCTCCGCGGCGCGCGCGGCCGTGAGGCTCGCGCCGACGTTCCGCAGGAGGAACTCGTGCTCGCGCGGGAATTCGTCCGTGAGGCGCTGCCACAGGGACTGGGGCGCGCGCCCCGCGGCGGCGAGGTCCACCGTCGGGTCGACGACGCGCGCGAAGTCCTTGCGGCCGTTGACGGCGACGAAGAGGCCGCCGGACACGTGGAGCGCCTCCGGGAGCTGCCGGCTCGCGCAGGGGTTCGACCGGTTCTGCACGAGCCCCGCGACGGCGTCGGCGACGGGCGCGAGGAGGTGCGGGTAGAGGTTCAGCATCGCCTGGTGGTAGGGCTTGCGGCCGAGGATCGCCGACATGGGCAGCGTGCGCTCGTCCTCCGTGCCGCGCTCGCTGCCCGCCCAGTACGCCTTCCGGGGCACGGCGAACTGCTGGCCCGTCGCCGTCGCGCAGTAGGGCACGAGGCCGAAGAACTGGACGCGGTAGGGGTCGTGCGGCGGCGCGGGCCAGGGCGACCACGTCGACGTGCGGTCGTGGAAGGCCTGCTTCCAGGAGAAGCGCGCGCCGCGGCCGTCGTAGGGGAACGCGGACCCGACGGCCCGGAGGGGCACGAGGACCTGCCACGCGAGGTAGGCGAGCGCGAGGGCGCGCCAGCCGCCCGGGGGCCCGCCGGCGAGCTGGGCGAAGAACGGGGGCTCGCCGCGGGCGGCGAAGGTCCGCGACTCGCCCTCTGCGTCCTCGACCCGCACCTTGAGGCGCGCCTCGCCGTGGAGCGGCGCGAGGGCGACCTCGCCTAGAAAGAGCACGCGGTGGCGGAACCGGGACACGATCCACTCGCCCCGGCGCGGGTCCACGGCCGACGTGAGCTCGAAGAAGACGTAGAACAGGACGTGGAAGAATTCGCGCGAGTCGCCTGGTCCGAACCGAGTCGAGGCGCTGCGGAAGAAGCCCCGGGCGACCATGTCGACGCGCCACTCTTCGGGGACGACGCCCAGGATGCTCAGGCACATGCAGAAGTCGAGGAGGCACGACGCGCACGCGAGCGCCGGGTAGATCCAGTCCGGGCCGGCCGTCCAGGGCACGAGAAAGTGCTCGGCCATCTTCGGCCACATGTGCGCGTCGATGCGGCCGCTCAGGAAGTCGCCGTGGAGCTTCCAGAGAAAGCCCCAGCCGTAGAAGACGAGGAACTGGCCCCGGATCGCGCGCAGGACCCAGATCTTCCGCGCGTCGGAGGCCTTGGGGATCTTCAGCGCGGGGAAGGTCCGCCCCGTCCAGTCGTCGACGGACCAGTCGTCGGCCGCGCCGGAGAGGGCCGCGAGGAAGAGCAGGAGGCAGAAGAGGTAGCCGGCGTCGGTGAACGTCGCGGCCGTGAGGAAGAACTGGCGCGCGAAGAGCACGGCGAAGAGGGGCGCCGTCGCGGGGAAGGCGACGCCCGCGGCGCAGAGCGCGCCGAGCTCGACGCCGCGAAGATGGTTCGCGGCGGCCGCCTCGTCCGTCGTCGGCGCGTAGGACTGGAGCCACGCCAGCAGCGGGTAGCGGAACGCGCGGTCGATGCCCGCCGAGTGCGGGCCGGGCAGGTCGAGCGTGCCGTGCGTGCGCATGCGCGAGAACTCGAGCGCGGCCCAAAGGTAGAGGACGACCCGGAACAGCGCCAGGCGCGCGCCGCGCGTCGCGGCGACCTCGAGCGCGTCCTTCCTCGGGTCAACCGAGCCGCGCTGCACGACCGGCGGGGGGCGCACGCGGCTTGGGCGGTTCTTGCGCTTCGGGTGGTCGGGCGGAAAGGTCACCGCCATCGTTTTGAGGGGGGTTACACTGAGCGGTCGCTTGAACGAGCGTCGAGTCCTCCTCTCGCACAGCGCTCGTTGACGACGTCTGAGATGCGACGAACGCTCACGAACGCTCTCGGCGACGGAGCAGCGGTCGATCACACTACGCACCGCGTCGAGGTGCAAAGTGTCGACGAGTCGCTGAGAATCGAGGCCTGCTCGTGCAGCAAGTCAAACTCACGGACCGAGGCCTGGACAGCCGCCGTCTCGCGCGCCGCCGGCGCGAAGCGACCTTCTTCGTGCGCGCCCGATTACGTCCCTCGCGCGCTGCGCCCCGGCCGCCGCCGCCCTAGATGCCCGAGAGGTGCCAGTTCGCGGCGAAGGGCTCCGTGGGGAGGCCGCCCGTGTAGTCCGGGAAGAAGTTGAGGAGGGGCACGGAGCCGTCGGTCTTCCAGGCGGAGACGAGGCCGGCGACGCCGAACATGGCGGCGCGGCCGTTCTGGAGCTCGACGAGGCGGCCGCGCGCCTTCGTCGCGTCGTCCCACTTCTTCATGGACCCGACGGGGTCCCAGAGGGAGTAGGTCTTCGCGACGGGGTCGAAGTTGACCTCGCCGACCTTGCCGCCCATGAGGTAGTGGGGCTTCTGGATCTCCGTGCAGAGCTCCATGAGGCCCACCCAGGCGATGATCTGGTACTTGCCGTAGAGCGGCACGTTGTCCCACGTGTCGAGCGGCGTCGCGCCGACGCAGCTCTTGAAGGTGACGCCGGGGGCGATGTTGCCGGGGAAGACCCAGCCGTTGGCCTGGAGCACCATGCCCACGAAGGCCGCCATGGCCACGCGGCAGTGCTTGAGCTCCGCCGCGCGGTACCACTCGAGCGTGGGACCGAACTGCGTCGTGTCGGCGAGATTGAGCGGGTCCCAATTGCCGAGGGGCACCTGGCCGCCCTCGAGTCCATCGAGCGGCGAAGCCTTCAGGGCACTCGCCGAAACCTTGGGCGCGACGGGCGCGACGTAGGCGCCGGCGGTGCCCGCGAGGGCGAGGAGCGCAGCAAATCGAGCCATTGTGTGCCTGCGAGGCGGACGCGTGAATTTTTTTGCACACGGATCTCAGCGCGCATCCCGGCGGGGCACGCGACGGCTATGGGCGGCGCGCGCGCTGCCGGGGCCACACGGCGCGCGCGGAGACGGGTCCATCGGCTCACCTCGCAATTGGTTGAGCTCGACGATCCTGGATTTGCGGCGCCTCAGGCCGACGTTGACGAGAATGTTGACGTTCCAAGCCACTGCGACCTCCTGGGCCACGGGCTGCATGGGCTGATCCTCCATCGCTGCCCACACGATGTCCGAGCCCGTGGCTAAGAAGGCCAAGACCGACGCGCCGCACATGAACATCGACGACATCGTCGATAAGGCCTACGAGGGCAAGACCCAGCGTCCTCTGTCTCTCTAGCGCGTTAGGCGACCTAGCCCGCCTGCGCGCATCCTGTGGCCGTGACGATTTTCGAGAGATTTCGGGTGGGGAAATGATGAAAAATCGTTACCGACACATTTACAGGCAAGACCTTCACGGAGATCGCCGACGCCCCCATCAGCGCCCTCCAGGGTCTCGCGGACTGGACGGACGACGTGGGCAAGAAGCTCCACATCCCGACGATCAAGAAGCTCGGCCAGTGGAAGTACTTCCTCTGGAGCCGCGCGTTCGTCACCCTGAGTAAGTACGAGATCCCGGACCACCGCGTCGCCGGGTCCCTCCTGAACTGCAACAAGGCGCTCGACAAAGATCACGAGGGCAAGACGATCAAGGAGATCCTCGCGCTGCCGCCGTCGGCGCTCTCGGGCATCGCGGAGCACTCCGACGCGGACCTGGCCAAGTTCAAGGTCAAGACCATCGAGGACCTCGGGACCTGGAAGTTCGCGCTCGCGGCCAACTCCATCGCGACGCTCGCGGAGATGGAGTCCGCGGACATCAACGTCCACTGAGTGGAGGCCTGTGCCGCGCGCGCCGAGCTGCGATTGGGTAATGTGAGCTGCTTTTTAATACACAGCAGAGCCGCGGATGGCCGAGCAGCCTAGCGCGGGCGTTTTCGCAAAAGCCAGCCTCAGCCGCGTAGCGAGGACCCCTCGGGTTCCAAACTACAAAGAAAAACATGTTAGCAGCCCGTCGCCGCCGTCGTCGACTCGCCGAACTGGTTCGTGATCGTGATCTCGGCGCTGGACGTGTCGAAGGGCACGTCGACGGACACGGACGCCGCGCGCCAGTGCGCCTCGAAGTCGAAGTCGCCGGTCACGGTGCCGTCGTCGTCGTCGCCGACGGCGGCCGTGATCGTGTAGGTGCCCGGGAACGTGTTCATCTGCTTGAACGTGTTGTAGGCGTCGAAGGTGATCGTCGTGCCGTCGCACCGCACGTTCGCGACGATGGGCGCCTCGTAGACGCGCTCGATGGAGTAGGCGTACCAGCCGCCGCCCGGGTTCGAGCAGTAGCGCTTGCCCGAGCACCTGGGCAGGACAAGAGTGCGAAATTCCCAACTTCAAAGGCTCATATCTCGGTCCTTTTCCACTCGTTTCGGCTAATTTTTGGACGAGCGATCATCTCTCGGAGCGCTCTCGACGCGTGGATGCTTTTTTCCGGAACGCGCGCGCGCGGAACACTCACGTTGAAGCGACGTTGAATCACCCTTGTCCTGCCCTGCCGAGCACTTGGCGCCGTAAACTTTCAATTCCCAGGCGATCTCGGACGTGTTCCGCGCGACCTCGATCGCGCGGACGCTGTACTGGTCGTGGACCTTGATCTTGTCCGCCCAGAAGATGCCGAGCTGGTTGCCCGTCGTCAGCCGGTCGTTGTCGCCGAAGTGGGGCGTGTACTCGCCCAGGAAGTAGGAGAAGGACACGTAGCCGCGCTTCGTCTCCTTGTAGTCCTCGAGCTTGACGCAGAGCATGCGGCTCTCGTCGTAGATCGCGTAGGTCTCCTCCTGGTTGTCGAACATGCAGAACTCGTCCTCGCCGAAGTACTCCGCGTTGTGCTGGCCGCTCCAGACGACGTCGCCCGCCTTGTAGACCGTGCCGTCGTACTCGACGATCTTGTAGTCGCCGTACTCGCCGCCCAGCGTGTACTCGACGGTGCCGTTGACGTTCATCTTGATGATGCTGTTCGTCTGGCGCGACGAGATGTAGAACTGCGTGTCTTTCTCCGTGGCCTGGCAGTGGTTCGGGTCCTGGACCTTCTCCTCCGCGAAATGCGCGAGGTTCTCGTTCGAGGACACGGCGATCTCCTCGACCTTCGTCGTGCCGTCGACCTGCCAGATCGCCGCGTCCTCGTAGGCCCACTGGATGTCGTGGGAATCGCCGGACTCGCCCTCGCAGAGGCTCGTCCAGGTGTCCTCCTTCCAGTCCCACAGCGCGCGCGGGCCCGACGTGCCGTCGTCGCTGAGGGCCAGCAGCACGTGCGACGAATTGAACATCTTGAGCCCCAGGGGCTGGAACATGCGCCGCTTCACGTCCTTGTCGTCGCTCACGGTGTAGCCGTTGTCGAGCATGTACTTGCCGTAGACCGGCGACAGCTGCTTGAGCTTGCCCCGCAGGTCCATGACGATCAGGTACGCCGCCGAGAAGTCGTTGCTGCCCGAGTAGGTCAAGCCCCAGAAGACGTGGCCCTCGACGGCCGCCGTGCCGATGGACCCGGCCACGCGGTCCACGTCGAGGTCCACGGTGATCTCGCGCGGGACGTAAATCTCTAAATCGTCGTAGGTCGACCAGTCGTCCTTGGAGACGCCCGCGTAGTCGCGCAGGTATTCCTTCACGGACGCGTAGGCCGTGAAGTCCTCGTAGGTCAACGTCGCCGAGACCTTCGACGAGGACTCGTCCGTCGCGTGGGCGTGGCTCTTGAGCTCGTTGGCGTCGAGCTCGACGGCCGGCGCGCCGGCCTGGAGCCGCGCGCCGGCGAAGACCACGAGGCCGAAGACGGCGAGGCCCACGAGGGCCGCCGACGCGGCGCGCTTCGCCGGCTGCTTCGCGGCTGCCCCGGGCACCAACTGAGCTTCCATTGCTGCTCAGTCGGGCTGCGTGGCTCAAACTCGGATGTAATCGGCACCGTCGGCTCGTTGCACTTATGCCGCCGCGCGCGCGCGCGAGTCGCTCGCGCGCGCGCCCTACTCGCCATCTTAGGTTTTAAGGGGGTTTAATACGAAGCCAAAGTTGCGCTTACCCTACTCGATGCCCATGAGCTGCAGCGCCTTCCCCGTGGGCCTGCGTACGACGCGACCGGTGAGTCATCTGAAAAAAAGGATGGAAGGACGCCGCGCCGCGCCAGTTCGTCACGAACGTCCGGTCCGCGACGGTCCACTCGCGCTGGAAGAAGAACTCCGCGTCGTCGGCGAAGAGCGTCTCGAGCAGCACGCCGAGCGCCTGCGCGGGAGACGGATCCGAGCGGGCCCGCGAATGGCGAGTTTGGGCCGGCGGTTGGGTCCGAGGGGGCGCCTTTCAGCCGGGCGCCGTTCGGTCGCTGGCGAGTCACAGGTTGCCCCTTTCACTTGATGTGGACGCCGGCTCGCGCGACGGCGCCCGGGAGCTTCTCCGCGTCCTTTGGCTTCGATTCGTAGAGGTCCAGCCACTCGCCGGCCGAGGGCATGGCGTCGAGGAGCCGTCGCTCGTGCGCGGCGACCGCTTGTCGCGCGTCCGCGGCGGTGACGCGCGTCGCGGCGACGCCGGCGTAGCGGGCGACCCAGTAGGTCGTGGAGACGCCGACGTAGAACCCGCCGCGCCCGGCGCCGCCCCCGGGGAGCGCGCCGCGGACGACGGCGCGCCAGTCGTCCGCGGCCGCGGCGGCGCTCGCGCCGCGGTCGGCGGCCGCGAGCAGGTCGCGGAAGGGCGTCGGCTCGGCGGCGCCGGAGGGGGCGCAGGACTTGATAGCGCACGGGAAGGATTCCGGCGCGTCGGCGCCCGCGGCGACGACCTGCGTCGACGCCCCGCCGAGCGACAGGAGGCCCGCGCGCGCCGCGCCGAGCGTCCGTTCCGCCGCGTGGCGCGTCGCCGCCTACCAAGCATGACGGTAACGATTTTTCATCGTTTTCCCAGCCGAAATCTCTCGAAAGTCGTCACGGCCACAGGACGCTGGTCGCCGCGAGCTCGAAGCCGCCCTCGGCCTCCGCCGGGACGGTCTCGAAGAAGAGGTCGGAAAAAGTCTCGCGGAGTTCGACCTCGACCTTGGCGAGCCAGGAGTCGTCGAGGCGGCCGTGGCGCATCGCCTGGCGGACACCCGCGGTGCAGCCGACGAAGACCGCGTCGTCGACGCCGGCGCCGTTGGCCTCGAGCCAATTCCGGAGCTTGTCCGCGGCCGCCGCGACGCCGCCGCGGTCGCTCGCCTTGCGCGCCTCGACGAGGAGCTCCTCGAGCGTCGCCCCGAGCTCCCACGAAGCTTCGTCGACGGCGCGCGCGAGCGACCCGCCCTCGACGGCGTAGGAGTAGCAGCGCGTGCCGCGGCTGCCGCCGTCGACGACGCAGCACCGCGACGCGCGGCCGCGCTTGCGCCGCAGCGCGTCCAGGGCCGCGGTGTCCTCGCCGCCCGCGCGGCCGCGCCGGAGGCGCTGCGCGTCGCGGATCGCGCGGCGCGCGGCCGTCGCGCCGTCGAGGTCGCCCGCGGCCTCGCGGCACGCCGCGAGCCCCTCGTGGGATCGCAGCAGGTCCGGGTGCGCGGGCCCCAGCTCCTGGCGCTGCGCGGCGACGGTCTCCCGGAAGAGGTCCGCGGCTTCGTCGAAGCGTCCGAGCGCGCTCAGGGACTCGGCGAGGGCGCCCCGGCTCTGGAGCGCGTCGCGAACCCCCGCGGGGCCGAGCGCCGCGCGGCCCGCGGCCGCGCGCGCGTGCGTCGCCCGCGCGTCCTCGTGGCGGCCCGTGGCCGCGTAGAGCGCGCCGAGGTGGTTCGCGGAGTTGAGCGTCTCCTCGTGGCCGTCGCCGAGCGCGGCGCGCTGGCGCCGGAGCGTGTCGAGCGCGAGGGGCTCCGCGGCGCCGAAGTCCCGCGCGTAGCGCAGCGCGACGCCGTAGTAGTAGGCCGCGTGGAGCGTCGCGCGGTGCTCGGGCCCGAGGCGCCGCGTCCGCGCCTCGAACGCGGCGCGGAAGAGGGGCGCGGCCTCGGCGACGTTCTTCTCCTTGCGGTAGGCCTTGCCCAGCGCGAGCGCGCGGTCCACGGCCTGGTCCGAGTCCGCGCCGAAGCGCGCCACCGCGACCTCGAGCGCGCGCCGCCGGACGACCCTCAGCACGCCGAACTCCGCCATGAACTCGCCGCCCAGGAGCCTTTCGAGGGCCGCGACGCGCGCGTCGTCGTCGCCCGCCGCGTCGACGATCTCGACCGCGAGCGCGCCGAGGCTCGTCGCGGCCGACGCGCCGATGGTCGCGTCGAGCGTCCGCAGCCGGTCGTCGACCGCGTCGACGTTCCCCGCGAAGTAGGTCCGGAAATAAGCATAATAGACGTGCGTCTCCTTCTTGAGCGCGAGCACCTGTGCCGAATGAAAACAACTGGTTTGGGGGGTCCCGACCAAACTTCATCCCTAGCTCGGTCGAATCGAAGGCAATATGGCTCATTTTTGGACGAATCGATTGCTCTCGTCGAGGTCTCGAAGCACAGCCGAAGCGTTCGCGTCGAGACTGTCGTTATTGAAGTCGGGTGCAAAATTTGAATTCGGCGAGGGGGAACGCTGGCGCGTAGTGGACCTGGACCTCGGCGACGCACGGGGGCCCGCCGTCCGCCGCGACGCGGCAGCTGAAGAGCAGGTCCCGGTAGCCGTTGAAGGGCGGGTCGCGGAACCGGCTCTTGAGGCGCAGCACCGCGCCGCTCGCGAGCAGCGCGTCGCAGACGCCGACGAGCTGCGCCTCCGTCGCCGCGACGAGCGACGCGCGGAGCACGTCGCAGAGGCGCCGGAACTCGCCGTCGTATTCTTTGAAGACCTTCTCCAGGCACCGCTCCTTGCCCTTGAGCCCCGGCAGGAGCGCGTGCTCCTCGTCGAGGCCCGCGGCCGCCGCGACGCGCCGGACGAGCGCCTCGAACGCGCCGCGCGCGCCGCGCGCCGCGCCGTAGACGTCGTCGAGGCAGATCGCGCCGTCGCGGTTCAGGTCGCTGGTCTGCACCGGCGCGCCCGCCGCGGCGAAGGGCGCCACGGCTTTGACGGCGTCGAGGCGCGCCATGGACGCGGCGACGGCGTCGAGCTTCTTCTTCGACGCGAGGAAACCGGCGGCCATGCGGAAGAACTCCTCGGCGTGCGCCGACACGGCGATGGCGCGGTCCTCGGGCGCGCGCGTCGGGGCCGAGCGCGCCGGCGCGGCGACGGCGCCGGGGGGCGCCAGGCGCTCCTTCTTGGCCCAGACGCGCTCCGCCGTGCGCTTCGAGACGACCTTGGGTTCCGCGAACCTCGTGTCCCACTCGTCGACCCACTCGTCCGCCGGCACGAGTTGCCGCGCGTCCTCGAGCGTGAGACCAGCTTCCGGGATGGACGCGCCGCTGCCCATTGCGGGTTACCTAAGAGCTGCCCATCGTTCAGGTTTCACTGTTTTACCGCATCGTGAAGGCTCCTTGACGTGACACGGTCGCCCGCCTGCGCGAGCACCGCTCGGCCGTGGACGCCCCCGCGCGAGAGCTCGCGCACGAGCCGCGTTCGTCGAGGGGCAGCTCGTCGGGACGACGACCCCCCTCCCGAGGCCCTCGCCGACCCCGAAAGTCGCGCTCGAGGTTAGTAGCTCCCCTTCGATATCCTCTGCATCATGCGCTTGTCGTCGCGCTCCTTGATGTCCTGGCGCTTGTCGCGCACGTTCTTGCCCTTGCAGAGGGCGAGCTCGACCTTGAGGAGGTTCTTGTCGTTGAAGTAGAACGCGAGCGGGACGAGCGTCGAGCCCTGGTCCGCGAGCTCGCCGTCGAGCTTGCGGATCTCGGCCTTGTGGAGCAGCAGGCGCCGCTTCGCCTTGGCCTCGTGCTGGAAGTAGCGCGCCGTCGTCGCGTGCGGCGCGATGTCGACGTTGTGGAGCCAGACGCTGCCGCCCTCGACGCGCGCGAAGCCGTCGCGCAGGTTCACGTTGTTGTTGCGGCAGCTCTTGACCTCCGTGCCCGTCAGGGCGATGCCCGCCTCCATGGTGCGCACGACGTGGTAGTCGAAGCGCGCCTTGCGGTTCGACGCGACCTGCAGGCGCCGCCCGTCGCGCTTCGCGGGCCGCTGGCCGGCGCCGAGCGCCGAGTTCCGGCGCAGCGCGTGTCTCGGCGCGCCGACGAGGCCCAGCGCCGCCGGGAAGAGGCAGGCGACGAGGAGCCGCGGCGGCAGCATGCGTCGCGGCGCTTGCCGGTGCAAACCCATTGCTCTCTTCGAGCAAAATCTGCCACAAGTAGGGGCGGACAATGAAGCTCGGACAGAAGATAATTACCTCAAATTTCGCCTGGGGTCTCTGTTTACGCCTGAGACGCGTAGGTCGACTTCCCGGCCGTGTACACCCAAGATTTTTGGCTCGATCGACGTTGGGCCGGGCCCCATGGAACATATAAAAGAAAACGCGGGTGTACACGGCGCGATTTTCAACATTTTCCAGCCTTGAACGAAATGGGATTCGTCCAGCCCCATAGGAAAAAGACCGAGGCTTCGCGAAGCCATAACTTTACGAAATCCGGATCGATTTCCACGAACCCAGACTCTTTGATTATCAGCTAGATGCCCTCTATCCATCGCACTGGGCGGCGCCGCCAAATTCGACGATCTGCGATCGGCCGATTTTCAGTGTCCCCCCCTACCACAAGGCAGGTCGCCCGCAAGCGCCGCGCGCGCCGCGCCGCTGTCAACGCCCGCACGCTCGCGCCGAGCGCCGTCGCGCGCTAGACAACGACGTCGATCTCGAGCGCCGTCGGCAAGACCGCGCACGTCGTCGCGATGTCGGACGCTTTGCCCCAGGAAGACGCCGCGCCGGCGCCGGGCTCTATCGAGGGCACGGCCGAGTTGATCGTCATGGGCATCAAGCTCAAGCTCCAGTTCATGGCCTTCGGCGCCGCGGTCGTCCTCGTCGTCTGGTTCTTGTGCCGCTCGCCGACTCGGTCGCGCGAGTCCGACTACGAGGTCGACGAGACGGGCCGACGACGAAAGATCATGCACGGCGACCTCTGAATCCCGGCGTCGCCGCGCGGTCCGCGCGGGCGACGCTGCGATAGTGCTGGGAGCTGCTGTGCGTGCTCTCGTCGCGCGCGCGGGGCCGACGCGCGACGGCGCCGCTCCCGACGCGCGCGCGCGCGGGCTCGTCTAAATAAGACGACTGTGTTGCATAAACATACCCGCCCAGCCTAGACTCCACAACCAAAAGAACCGGAACGCGTCGCATCGAAGCGCGGCGGAGGTCACTTACACGAACACTTCAACGTCAACAAAAAACTTCACCGATCCCAAACGTGCTCTCTCAGAGTCGAAACGACCATGGAGCCACAGTAGTGATGTCCATCCTCTTCGAGGACTGCCTCGCCACGCTCACGGAGCGCTTCGCGTCGGCGGACCGCGCGCTCGTCATCAGCGATGCGGAGTCCGGGGAGCGGCTGCGGTCGACGCTGGCGGCGGTGCTCGAGGACAAGGAGGTGCTACCGCTGTGCACGACCGACGACGCCCTGCACGTGCTCTTCCCCGCCGACGCGGGCACGATGATCGTCTACGAGGCGCGGAACCCGGCGAACGCGTCCGTGGAGTTCGTCGCGCGGCTGCGGGACAAGGAGCTGCGCGCGCCCGCGGTGCCGAACCGGAGGCGCTACCTCGTCATGGTCCTCGCGGCCGAGTCCGTCGCGGACGAGAAGAAGTTCCTCGCGAGCCGCGCGCTGGGCGCGGACGTCGTCGTCCAGGGCCCCGTGCGCATGGAGGGGTTCCTCGACGCCATGTTCGCGTGCCTCGCGGGCTCGCGGCCGCCGCCGCGCGAGCGCGGAGGCCCGCCGTCGCTGCACACGCGGTCCAAGCCCGGCGACGACATGCGCAAGCCGCGGCTCCGCGCGCCGGCCTACGTCGTGCGGGGCCGCGTCGACAAGATCCGCAAGCGGCTCACGGCCTTCCGGCGCTTCAAGGCGCGCGCGCCGGACCTCCGGCGCGCCGCGGAGCCCGCGCTGCGGCCGTCGCTGCTCCAGCTCGTCCAGGCCCAGGCCATGGCCCAGGGCCTCGTGCCGACGAAGCCCCCGCCGAAGCTCGAGCTGAGCCCCGACGACGCGAGCCGCGCGTCGTCGAAGAAGCGCGACGCGGGCGACGCGGGCGGCAAGAAGCAGGTCCGGCTGTCGCTGCCGGGCGCGTCGACGAACGTGCGCGCGCTGCTGACCAAGGTCGGCACGCCGAGCAGCCGCATGAGCTCGTCGAGCAGCGAGTCGTCCGACGACGAGGACCTCTTCGACCCCAACGAGTGGCGGCCGGGCGACCCGAAGCGGAAGCAGAGCCTCCGGAGCGACCTCATGTCGTCGATGAACCGGTCCCTCGAGATGAAGCCCGAGGCCCAGCTCGACGACTCGGCCAAGGCCGTCATCGCGCTGAAGCGCCGCGAGACGCGGCGCCAGTCCCTCGTGCGCAAGAGCGCCGTCGACGCGCAGCAGCCCGCGGCGGCCAAGGGCTTCCGGAAGCCGAGCTACCGCGCGGCGCGCGGCACGGTCATCGACAAGCGCAAGTACCTGAGCCGGGGCCGCACGCCGAGCCCGCCGACGGCGGACGAGCAGGCCAAGGACGAGGACCCGGAGGAGATCTTCGCGGGCGCCGCGGCCGCGGCGCCGCGCCAGAAGGACCGGTCGCCCGCGCCGCCGAAGCGGGGCCTCCGCGCGGCCGCGCCCGTCGACGTCGACGACGACATCGACGTCGGCGAGGTCTGCTCGTCGGCGGGCAGCGGCGACGACGAGCCGCCCGGCGACAAGGCGCCGGGCGCGCGCCCGCGGGGCTCCATCTCCGCGCTGAGCCCCGGCGCGGTGTCGCGGGGCAGCCTCGGCGACCTCTTCGGGACGACGCGCCGGCGGGCGTCGAACCAGCTCCCGGGCGGCCAGCGCGCGCGGGGCTCCTTCTCCATGCTACCGCCGGCGCCCGAGGCCGCGGTGCACCGCGGCTCCATCTCCGTCGCGCCGGGCGGCGGGCCGAGCCTCGGCGGCGCGCCGGGCGTGCACCGCGGGTCCATCTCCCACGCGCCCGGCGGCGGGCCGAGCCTCGCGCGCGCCGGGCGCCAGGGCTCCTTCCTCGAGCGGAGCCCGGACCAGCGGAAGGCGAGCCTCGACCGGAGCCCGATCGCGCGCAAGGCGAGCCTCGACCGGAGCCCCGGGGCCATGCTGCGGCAGGGCTCCTTCCTCGATGCGGGAGGCAAGGCGTCGATGATGCGCCAGCCGTCGTTCACGATGACCCGGGGCTCGCGCGGGTCCTTCGAGGACTCGCCCATCGGCCGCGGCCGCTCCCTGAACCGGCCGAGCTTCGAGGACGGCCCCGGCGGCGGCCGGCCGCGGGGGCTGCAGCGGGGCGCGAGCGGCCTCGCGCGGGGCGCGTCGTTCCGCGCGCCGCCCGCGGACCTCCTCGGCAACGCCGCGCGAGCGCGCAACTCCATCGTCATGAACAAGAGCTAGAATTTAGTCGTACATGGCCGCGGCGACGCGCGCGCTGTCGCCCTCGACCTGGCCCGGCAGCACGGGCGCGGCGGCCGGGGCGGGCGCGTGCTCCGGCGCCGCGTAGGCCGGCGCGACGGCGCCGCCCCGGGGCTGGGACGACCCGAAGAGGCGGCTGATCGTGCCGCGGCGCGGTTGCGGCCGCTCGCCGGGCGCGGCGATCGTCGACCGCCGCGGCGGCGGCGGCGCGACGCTCAGGCGCCGCGAGATGGCGCCGGCGACGGAGCCGACGAGCGTGGGCCGCCGCTGGCTCGACGGGCGGTCCCCGTCGAGGCTCCGGCGCTGGTCGAAGCCGAAGATGGACTTCTTCCGCGGCGGCCGCTGCGGGTTCAGGGACGCGGCGCGGCTCCGGAACTGGCGCACGCCGCCCCGGAAGCTCCCGACCGTCGCCGTCATCTGCAGGGTCCGGAAGTCGTCGGTGACGATCTCCATCTCGTCGGCCTTCTTGAGCGCGTCGAACGCGCGCGCCTTCTCCTCGTGCTCGATGGCCGTCGCCGTGCGCCCGCGGCCCGCGGCCCGCAGGAACTCGAGCGCCGACCGGTAGACCCGGTAGCTCCGCTGGCGCTGCCACTCGCCGTAGGCCAGGGCCAGGGGCCCGTAGCAGAGCTGGAGCTCGCAGATGTGGCCGTCGCCCGAGTCGCCGCCGACGAACCGGAAGTGGATGACGACGGAGCCCGCGTCGATGACGCGGCCCGCCTTGCCCTCGAGGGCGTTGACGCAGGTCACGAGCTCGATCTTCTCCTTGATGCCCATGGTGTTGGACACGATGGACGACGCGTCGCAGTTCTCGACGATCATGAGCACCTGGCCGAACTGGATCATGCTGTCCACCGTGAGGCGGCAGCGCACGATGTCGTGGAGCGACGCGATCTCGTAGGCCGACGTGTCCCGGATCAGATCCATGACCTCGACGCTCGACTTCTTCGACCGCCACGACTCGCGCTTGACGAACTCGAGCATCGTCCGCGACTTGCGCTTCTCGCGCTTCGGCGCGGCCTCGCGGCCGCCCGACTTCTCCCGGCCGCTCTCCGGGGACCGGGCGGAGCCGCGGCCGCCCTCGCGCCGCGCCCGCACGCCGTCGTCGTCGTCGCCGCGCGCGGACCGCCGCGCGGACGGCGTCGACGCCGCGCCGCGCGCGGAGCCGCGGCCGTCCGAGCCGCCGCCGTCGGACCGGTCCGTCGCCTCGCGCGCGGAGCCCCGGCCGTCGGAGCGGCCCGTGTGCTGCGGGTCCCGCGCGGAGCCCCGGCCGTCGGCTTCGCGCGCGGAGCCCCGGCCGTCGGCGTCCCGCGCGGACTCGTCGTCGCGCGCGGACCCGCGGCCGTCGGACCGCTCCGTGTCGCGCGCCGTGTAGTCGCGCGCGGAGTCGCGGCGGTCCGTGTAGAGGTCCGAGTCGCGCGCGGTGTCGTTCTCCCGCTCCGTCTCGACGACGGTCACGGCGGCCCCGGGGTCGAAGTGGGGCGTCGCCTGCTCCTGCTCGAAGGTCGCTAGGGCCGCCGCGAGGCCCGTCTGCTCGCCGACGCGCCAGAGGCTCTTGACCGTCGGCGGCTCGGCCGTCGCGCGGACGCGCGCGGCCACGGCGCCCATGAAGGCGCCCATGCGGCCCCGGAGCTTGACGGCGTTGCGGTACGTCGCGCCCAGGTCGTTGAGATTGCCCTGCTTGTTGCTCAGGCAGCGCTGGCACTGGACCATGCGCAGCCGGAGCGAGATCGCGTCGAGCCGCTCGACGACCGCGTCCCAGCCCGGGTCCTCCACGGCCTTGCGCACGAGCTCCGGCAGCGTCGCCAACGGGCCCACGCGGAACCGGAGGCGCAGCGCCTCCTCCAGCGGCCGCGGCATGGCCGCGACGCGCCGGCACTCCATGCGGACGACGACGCCGACGGCGTTGAGCGCCGTCGTGAGCGCGGACGTCTCCTCCTTCGTCCAGGGCCGCTCGCCGGAGGAGACCATGGCGTCGTAGCGCTCCAGGATGCGCCGCAGGGCGCCCATCATGGGCGTGTCGACGAGGGGCGTGTAGTCGCTCGTGACCTCGTAGTCGTCGATCGCGTCCAGGTCTCGGTCGACGAGGCGGCAGACGGCCTCGACGAGGAGCGCGGGCTCGACGGCGTCGATCTCCGCGTCGCTGCACGTCGCCCCGAGGGCGAGCTTGTCCACGAGCTTCTCCACCGTCGTCTCCAGCAGGTCGCCGGCGCCCGCGTCGCCCTCGAGCGGCGCGCTCGACCGCCGGAGCGCGAACGACGGCAGCACGGCGGACCCGCGCCGGCGCGAGAGCGCCGCGGGCAGCCCGGCCGGCAGCAGGCCCGTCGACCCGCGGCGGCCCGTCCGGTTCACGCCCTCCGTGATGCCGGCCAGGGGCGCGCTGCCGCGGTGGGGGCGCGACGCCATGGCCCTGGGGCTGCCCAGCTACGTCGGTGCGCTCGGTGGTGGGCCTCCGGTATTATCTCGGCGCGCGCCGCCCGCCGCGCGCGCGCCGAGCCATGGCCACGGCGTGCGGCGGTCGGGCTGCGCCAAGGGAGCGGGATGGCAGCGCCCGTGATCGACGATCGACGTAATTAAAAAGGCAACACACACTGCAATGTGAAACGTTTGCCCGCGCCGACGGGCAGCCCTTCGACGCTGGCTCTTGCTCCTGATTCGAAACTGCGATGGCGGCCCCTGGGTACATCGACGACGACGACCTCAGCGCGTCCATGCGGCCGCAGTCCGTCCCGTCGTGGATGGCGGAGCTCAAGGGCACGGAGCGCATGCCGGGGGTGCCGAGCCTGCCGCCGCGGGCGCTCAACGCGGACCACCTCGTGGCGCTGGACCCGCGGAGCGTGGAGCCGAGCCTGGAGCACAGCCGGCCCCGGGCGCCCATCGTCGGCGCCCACCAGGACGTCACGTCCTGGCACGGCGGCGTGCGGAGCGGGGCGGCCCCCGCGGCCGCGGCGGGGGCGTCGGGCGGCCGGCGGCGGCCGCGGCGGCAGCGCGCGGGCGGCGCGCGCGAGGGCGCGGCCGGCCTCGCCGTGTCGCGGGCGAAGCGCGGCGGCGAGCGGAGCCTGACGGAGTCCTGGGAGTCGCTGCGCTTCTTCAGCCAGCACAACCTCGGCCGGCGCCTCGACGTCGACGTCGCGGGCAGCCTCGGCGGGTCGCCGAGCGACAACGTGCACTTCGTCAACGTCGACGAGGACGAGCTCAGCGCCTGCGACGAGGCGCCGTCCGTCGATGACGGCGACGACTCCTACGCCCCGGGCATCGTCGACGACGGCCTCAGCTACGACGCGCGGTCCGCCCCCGGCACGCGGAGCGGCCCGCCGCCGGCGCTCTTCGACCACCGGGAGCCGCTGGAGACGGCCGACGGGTCCTGCATCGCCGCGCCGTCGACGCTCTTCATCATCCCCGAGCTGCCGACGGGCCGCGAGCTCACGCTGAACATCCTGTCGACGTGGGGCGACCCCTACTACGTGGGCCTCATGGGCGTCGAGGTCTTCGACGGCCACGGCCACCTCGTCGTGCTGCCGCCCGAGGCGATCTGGGCGGACCCGCCGGACATCAACGTGCTGCCGGACAGCGACGGCGACGACCCGCGGACCGTGGACAAGCTCCTGGACGGCGTGAACCACACGGGCGACGACCTGCACGCGTGGCTCGCGCCCTTCCGGCGGGGCGAGAACCACTACGTGGGGTTACGCTTCGAGACGCCCGTGACCATGTCCATGATCCGCGTCTGGAACTACAACAAGAGCCGCATCCACTCGTACCGCGGCGCGCGCTACGTCGAGATGAAGCTCGGCGGCCAGGACATCTTCAAGGGCGAGATCCAGCGGGCCGTGGGCACGGGCGCCAAGGCGGACATCGAGGACTGCTCGGAGTGCATCTTATTCACGACCTCCGAGACGACGCTGCGCCTCATCGAGAAGTACGACAAGGCGCTCCGCGAGTCGACGGCGGCCGCGGCGCCGGGCTTGGCGGACGGCCTCGGCGAGGGCCACCACTACGCGCCGGGCCCGACGGGCTCCGCGAGCCGGTCGCGGCTCCTGAGCAGCGGGAGCCGCGACAAGGAGCCCGGCGTCGCCATGAACACGTGGACGCCCGTCGTCGCGGGCGGCGGCGGCGGCGACGAGCCCGCGCGGCCGCGGACTTCGTGCGGCACGCGCGCGCGGTCCCAAGAACAGCGCGGCGAGCGGACGAAGCTGCGCTGGGAGGTCGACGTCGCGCCGGCGCCCGGTGGCGTTTCGCGCGCGGGCGACGCGTCGCTGAGCGGCTCCGACGTCGAGTTCCCGGACCTCGACTCGCTCGACGGGCGGCCCGCGAACCAGTTCTCGCGGAGCTTCGGCCCGGGCGCGACGTGGCAGCTCGAGGGCGTGCGCGGCGGCCGGGGCGGCGGCGGCGCGTTGAATTTGGTGGGCAAGTCGAAGCCCCTGAGCCACCGCGGCGGCCAGGAGGCGCGCGCGGAGGACGCGGCGCCGCCGGGCTCCGCGGTGAAGATGCGGCCCCGGCCGTCGACGGCGCCGATAGATCGGCGCAGCGAGCTCCCGAGCGGGCGCCACCTCGAGTTGGTCGTCTTGTCGAACTGGGGCGACCAGACCGCCGTGGGGCTCAGCGGCCTGGAGGTGCTCAACGAGAACTTCTCCGACTTCACGCGCGATTGCGGCGGGCCGGCGCTCCGGGGCGTGCGGCGCGCGTCGCCGCCGAGCTCGCCGACGTTCTGCGGTCTGGGGCCCGCGCGCTTCGACGACGACGACGACGACCTCGCGGACGCGGCCGACGTCGCCGGCGACGAGCCGCCCGCGGACGGCCGCGCGGCGCTCGATAGGCTCACGCGGCTGCCGCACGTGACGACGCGCGGCGACGCCATGTGGCTGCTGCCGCTGGCGCTGTGCCGGGGCGCCGACGCGCCCCTGTCCCTCGCCATCGACCTCGGCTGCCACCGGACGCTCGGCGCGCTCAAGGTCTGGAACTACAACGCGTCGCTCGAGGCCGCGTGGAAATCTTCCACCCGACTTCAATGTGCGTGACGTTTCGACGCAACCTCTTCGGCTGCGCTTCGAGAACTCGACGAGAGCAATCGATTCGTCCCAAAATCAGCCGAATCGACTTCGATGTGACCGAGCTAGAGAGGTTTGACATTTTCGCCGGGCGGGGCGTTCCACCGGTCGATGTCCACGCAGGCTCGAGGACTCGTACTGCGGCGTCAAGCGCATGGCCGTCTACCTCGACGGCGTGCCGCTGAGCCCGCCGGAGGGGTTCCTCATCCGCAAGGCGCCGGGGAACGATAGCTTCGACTTCGGCCAGTTCATCCACGTGCAGGAGCACCCGACGTCGCCCGCGGTGCAGTCGCTCGCGGCGCAGACGCCGTCCAAGGCCCACTTCGCGGCCCTGCGCGGGTCCCCGGGCAAGAACCCGCGCGTGACGTCGGCGCGCCGCGCGCACGCGGGCGACGACGTCGGCGTGCCGCCGGAGCTGCCGCCGTCGCCGAGCCGCGCGGAATCGGGCCGCGCGGCCGACGGCCGCGCGGTCTACGCGAAGGAGCCCGCGCGGACGCCCGCGCGGGACGCGGTAATGCTCGACATCCCGACGTCCGCGTCCTACCAGTCCCTGAGCTCCGAGTACAGCGACGGCGACGGCGACGACGCGAACTTTCTGCTCGAGAGCATGGACGCGCTCGGCCGGTCGTCGGGCGGCGCCGCGTCCGCGCCGTCCGCGCCGCGCGGCGTCTGCCTCCGGCCCCAGCAGTACGAGACGCCGCTCTACCCCTGCGGCTGCATCTTCAAGTTCGTGCTCCTGTCGACGCACGGCGACCCCTTCTACGTGGGCCTCTCCGGCGTCGAGCTCGCCGACGCCGACGGCCGGCCGATCACGCTCGACGCCGACGACATCCACGCGGAGCCCCGCGACATCAACGCGCTGCCGGAGATGGAGGGCCGCGCGCCGGACACGCGCACGCTCGACAAGCTCGCGGACGGCGTCAACAACACGCACGACGGCGCCCACTGCTGGCTCGCGCCCTTTGTCGGCGGCACGAACGCGATCTTCGTCTGCTTCGACGAGCCCGTGGCCATCTCCTACGCGACGCTCTGGAACTACGCCAAGACGCCCAAGCGCGGCGCGCGCGAGATCGAGATCTTCGTCGACGACGTTTTGGTGTACCGCGGCGTGCTCAAGATGGCGCCGCCGCCGCCGCCGCCCCAGATCGCGCCGAAGATGGACCCGCCGTCGTCGACGCACCACGCGCCGCGCCGCGGCGCGCGGCGCCGCTCCGACGCGCGCGCGGCCGCGGCCGCGGAGCCCCTCGACTTTGGGCAGACGGTCCTCTTCACGAACCAGGCCCACATCGTCGACGCGCAGCGGCACCGCGTCTACACGGCCGCGGACCTCCCGGGCGAGCTCGACGTCCTCTTCATCGACGAGGGCGAGGTCCGCGAGAGCCTCGTCCGCCCGACGACGGCGGTCGTGAGTTCCTAAGATCCGGGGTTCGGGAGATGTGGCGCGGCCGGTGTAACTATTCTCCTTACGCGCTCGCGCGGCGCCGGTCCTCGTTCGCGCCCGCGTTCGTTTGCGCGCCCGCGCTGCGCGACGCCTTCGCTCGTTCCTGTTCGCATTCGAGTTCGCACCGAGCGCTCCGCGACGCCCTCTCTAGTCCGCCTTGGGCGTCTTGCGGCGCGGCTTCTTCGTCTCGACGGGCGACTCGGCCTCGACGGGCGCGTCGCCCTCGGCCGCCGGCGCCGCCGCGTCGACCGCGCCCATGGAATACGCCGCGCGCGCGATGAGCGTGGCGAAGAGGCACGCGACGACCGTCGGCTCCAGGGGATCGCCGATCCGCACGTGCGAGTACCCGACGAGCGCGAAACCGGGGATCGCGAGGCCCGCGAGCATTTGCATGACGTTCTTGTTCTGCAGGACCCAGACGTTGAGGACCGCGATGATCTTGAGCGCGCCGATGAGGCGGCAGGCGTTGCGAAACGCGCTCTGGTCCGCGACGAACTCGGGACCGAACGCGGCCTCGAACTTGCGCTTGAGCGCGAAGGATGGCATGACCTCGTCCGGGTGCTGGCTTGTGTCGAAGCCGATCGTTAACATCATGCATCCGAGGGGAATGAGCGCCAGGATGGCGAGTTTTTCCAGGAGGGGGACGGCCATCTTCTCGGTGGCGAGTCGGCTTAGAGAGCCACTTGTCGCCGAATACCACAGCGCGCAGCAGAGCGCGGATCGCGTGCAAGGCGCAATGAGGGACGACGCACACTCGTCGTTCGTCAGCTGTCGCGGGGTTGAGCTCTCAATATGGCCTTTATTGATGATGAGGTTATCGATGCTGCGGAGGACGGCGACATCGAGGAGGTGAGCGACTGGTTGTCGAGGGGCGGCGATCCCAACCAACGAGATCACGCTGGACTTTGTCTCCTTCATCACCTCTTAACTTTTCACCGCCACGATCCTCGAGGCGACCGCTCAGAGCTAATACGACTACTGGTCTCGCATGGCGCGGACGTGAATCGTAGCGCTTTATTAGACGGCTTTATAGGGCCAACGCCGCTGCACGTTTCAGTTCTTCCCGGAGAGACAAATTTGCTTATCGATTTAGGAGCCGACGTCGACGCTGTTGACGAACACTGTAACAACTTGACACCTCTTATGTATGCAGTCCTCGATGATGCTCCCGAATGTGCTTTAGCGCGAATGCGTGTCCTGTTACATCGCGGAGCTGACGTAAACGCAAACGCTACGAATGACCGTGATGCTGAGTACTTTGCTTGGAGAATGAATCGTGATGAACTCGCAGATATTCTGGTCCGGGTCAAAGCTGCGGGCAGCTGGCCGCGCTACGTCCGCGCCCCGCGCGTCGCGCTCGCGCGGCTCCGGCTACTCTGCGCGCGCGGCCGCGCGCGACCGCCGACCGCCCGGCGCGACCCCATCCTCGCGCGCCTCTTCGCCGCGCCGCCGCCGGCGTCGTCGAACAAGCGCCTCGCGAGCCGCCAGGTCCACCGCCCGCTCCCCAACGAGATCTTCTGGCTCATCCTCTCCTTCTGGCGCACGGATCGCGACGCTTAAGCCCATTACAGCGTCGTCAGCTGGGGCGAGAACGTCGCACTGGCCTCGCTCCGCCCGAAGGCGAGCACCGCGGGCGACCGGGCGAACTTCCGCAGGGCCGCGTGCATGCGCGCGTCGAACTCGGGCGTGCCCTCGTCCGCGCCGTCGAAGAAGCCCTTGACCTCGAGCTTGACGAGCCAGCGCTCCCAGAGGCCCGGGTGGCGGATGATGAGCTGGACGTCCGGCGACGAGCGCCGGAGCATGCGCGCGAGCATGCGGCCGTGCATCGCGTCGCTGCCCTTGGGCGGCTTCGGCCGGAGCGCCGCGCCCGCGCCGCCGGCGAGCGCCCGCTGCTCGCGCTCGCGCTGCTCGACGGCGGCGACGCCGGCGGCGCCGATGCGCTCCATGGAGCCCAGGAGGGGCGCCGCGGGCTTCGCCGGGTCGTCGAACGCGCCCGGCTGCATCGTCCGCACGAGCAGCCCCCGGAGGTCGTCGACGCCCGGCGCGTCGCCGCCGCCCGAGATCTTCGAGAAGGCCGCCATGGCCTCGCGGTCCACGGGGCGGAGCTCCGGCACCGGCGCCTCCTCGGGCTCGCCCTTGGTCTCCTCGACGCCCGCGGCCGCGAGCGCGTCGGTCGAGTCCGCGTCTAGTACGTCGTTCCGGGCCCGGTCCGTCGACTGCTTCTTCCGCGACGCGCGCGCGGCCATCAACCGGGCGGCGACGACGGCGAGCTCCGCCGGCGACTTGTCCGGGTGCTGCTTCATGAGCTTCCGGAGCATCTCGCCGTCGTCGAACTCCGCGGCCGCCGCCGCGGCCGCGGGCGCCTCCGGCGCGCCCTCGAGGCGCCGCGTCGCCATCGCCGCGAGCTCCTCGATGGGCTTGTCGGGGAATTCCTTCAGCAGGTCCTCCAGGACCCGCCGCTGCCGCTCCGCGGGCGCGAGGTCCGCCATCCGCACGCCGGGGGCTTTTTTCTGCTTCCGCGCCGCGCGGCCGAGGCGCCGCTCCGCGGCGAGCACCGCGAGCTCGGACTCCGGCAGGTCGGGGAAGTCGGACCGCAGCTCGCGGATCGCCGCGCGCTGCTCCTCCTCGGGCGACCGCGGCTTCGGCACCGCGCGGGGGCCGGCGCCGTCGTCCTCCCACGGCGCGGCCGCGCCGGGCGCCGCGCCGCCGAGGCCGGGCATGCCCATCATCCCGGGCATCATCATCATGGGAAGCATGCCCATGCCGCCGCCGGGCATCCCCGGCGTCATCCCGGGCATGCCGCCGCCGGGCATCGCCGGCGTCGTCCCGGGCGCGCCGCCGCCCATCCCGGCCGGCATCCCCGGCATCATCCCGGGCATCGCGGGCATGCGCTGCGGCGCGGGGCCGGCGGCGTCGAGCTCCCGTGCCGCGAGCATGGCGAGCTCCTCCGGGGGCCGGTCCGGGTGCTTGGCCAGGAGGTCCCGCAGGATCCGCTCCTGGCGCACCTCGCGCGCCGCGTCCGCCGCGGGCGGCGCGGCGGCCGTCGTCGGCGCGGGCCGGGCGGCCGTCGGCGGCGCGCGCTTGCGCTGCATGATCTCCGCGAACATCATGGAGAGCTCCTCGGGCTGCTTGTCCGGGTTGTCGCGCATGAGCTGCACGAGCGTCGCCTCGTCTTCGGGCGCGAGCTCGCCCGTCGGCGCCGGTGGCGCCGCTTGGGGGCCGTCGAGGCGCTCCGTCGCCATCATCGCGAGCTCCTCGATGGGCTTGTCGGGAAACTGCTCGAGGAGCTCCTGCAGCACCTCCATCTGCCGCGCCTCGTTCGCCGCCGCGGGCGCCGCCCGCGGCTTCGGCCGCGGCTTCGGCTTCGGAGCGAGCGCCTCGCGCGTCTCCTGCTGGGCGCGCGCCAGGTCGGCGGCCAGGCTCTTCTCCGGGCTCTTCTCCGGCGACGCCGACTGCTTGGCGGCGGCGGCGGCGCGCCGCTTCTCCTGGAACCGAGCGCGCTTTTCCTGCATGATCTCGTCCTTCGTCTTGCCGATGTTGCCGGCGCTCTTGCTCGTCTGGAGCGTCGGCGTCCCGGCCATGAAGTCGCTCGCGAGGTTCAGCCGACGCACTGCGGACGGCGGCATGCTTTCACAACATTGCACAGTTTGCTAGCATACAAAAACAGGGAAACTTGCAGTTGGAAACTTGACATCAAGAAGCGCGTTTTTAGCATCGTATGGGCTGCCCTCGGTGGTGATAACATGTGGCTCGCGTACGCCGCCCTCGTCGTCGCGGGCGTGCGGGCCTCGGCGCCGTCGTCGGACCTCGAGCGCGCCTGCCGCGCCGTCGGCGATGGCCCCCGGTGCGGCGCCGTCTTCAACGCGACGCGCCTCCCGCGGGCCTGCGACGAGGAGCTCGCGGCCCTCGTCGTCGCCGAGTTGCCGGGATCGAAGATGACGCAGCGGCTGGTCCGGTCCGTGAGCAGCGCGGCCTTCGTCGAACTGCCTCAATGAAGACCTCAGACGCTGTCGAGCGGAGATGGTGTGGCCATGGACGCACGCGCGGAGCGCGCGTCGGCGCTGGAGGGCCGAAGCCCTCGGGCCTAGACCAGAGAGGCGACCCAGAAGCGAACCTGCGCCTGCTGCCAAATATAGCAAAAAATAGAAATGGAGAATATTTGACCAATATCCAGTCCGATCTACATGCTTGCAGATACGTAGCCATAGGCAGCACAAAGCGAAAAGACTAGCAAAGAAAGCGCACCCGACGAGCTCCCTCGGCGCGTCGGCCGCCGGGCGTCGCGCGGGCCGACACAGCCTCGCCCCGAAAGGTGCGACGGAGTTAGGGCTCGGGGTGGGAGGGCTCCTCGGTGTGCCGCACGCTTCTCGCGGGGATCGCGAGCGTCTCGCGCCGGGTTGGGTTTCGGCGATTAAGCGCCGCAGGAGAGGCACTCGTGCTCCTCCAGCTCCTGGCCGTTGGCGGGCTCGAGCGCGGCGCCGCCACGGCTCTTGGCCGCCATGGCCTGGTCCACAGTGAAGGCGATGGCGTCGGCCTTGGGCCGCGTGCGGAGGTAGTACATGCCCGTCTTGAGGCCCTTCTTCCAGGCGTAGAAATGCATGGACGTGAGCTTGCCCGGGTTCGGGTCCGCGACGTGCAAATTCAGCGACTGCGACTGGCAGATGAACGCGCCGCGGTCCGCGGACATGTCCAGCACACACTTCTGCTTGATCTCCCACGTCGTCTTGTAGAGCGCCTTGAGATCGTCGGGGATGGCGAGAACGCCCTGGACAGAGCCCTTGTCCGCAATGATCTGGTTCCGGATCTCGGACGTCCACAAGCCAAGCGCGATGAGGTCCCGGAGGAGGTACTTGTTGACGACAGCGAACTCGCCCGCGAGCACGCGCCGCGTGAACATGTTCGACGTGAAGGGCTCGAAGGACTCGTTGTTGCCGAGTATCTGCGCCGTCGACGCCGTGGGCATGGGCGCGAGGAGGAGCGAGTTGCGGCAGCCGTGCTCGCCGAGGCGCGCGCGCAACCCCTCCCAGTCCCAGCGGTCCGACGGCTTCACGTTCCACAGGTCGAACTGGAAGAGGCCCTGGGACGTCGGCGACCCCGCGTAGGAGTCGTAGGGGCCGAGCTCCTGGGCCAGGTCGATGGACGCCTCCATGGCGCCGAAGTAGATGGTCTCGAAGACGTCCCTGTTGATCCGCTTCGCATCGTCGGACTCGTAGGGGTGGCGCAGCTTCGCAAGGGCGTCGGCCATGCCCTGGACGCCGATGCCGACGGGCCGGTGCTTCAGGTTCGACGACTTGGCCTCCTCCACCGGATAGTAGTTGACGTCGACAACCTTGTTGAGGTTTTTCGTCACGACGTAGGCCGTGCGCCGGAGCTTCGCGAAATCGAATGTCGCGGCGTCGCCGGCGCCATCGACGTGGACCGTGAGGTTGATGGACGCCAGGGTGCAAACCGCGATCTCGTCGGAGGCCGTGTACTCGACAATCTCGGTGCACAGGTTCGACGACTTGATCGTGCCCAAATGCTTCTGGTTCGACTTGTCGTTGCAGGCGTCCTTGTAGAGCATGTAGGGCGTGCCCGTCTCGACCTGGCTGTCGAGGATGGCGAACCAGAGCTGCTGCGCGGGGATGGCCTTGCGCGCGCGGCCCTCGGCCTCGTAGCGCTCGTAGAGGGCCTCGAACTCGGCACCGTGGCAGTCCGCGAGGCCCGGGCACTCGTTGGGGCACATGAGGGACCAGAACCCGTTAGCCTCGACGCGCTTCATGAACAGGTCCGGGATCCAGAGGCCGTAGAAGAGATCGCGCGCGCGCTCGAGCTCGTTGCCGTGGTTCTTCTTGAGGTCGAGCCACGTCTCGATGTCCGCGTGCCAGGGCTCGAGGTAGATGGCGAAGGAGCCCTTGCGCCTGCCGCCGCCCTGGTCCACGTAGCGCGCCGTATCGTTGTAGACGCGGAGCATGGGCACGATGCCGTTCGACGTGCCGTTGGACCCGCAAATGTAGGAGTCCGTCGCACGGATATTGTGGACCGACAGGCCGATGCCGCCCGCGTACTTGGAGATGGCCGCGCAGCGCTTGAGCGTGTCGTAGATGCCCTCGATGGAGTCCTCCTTCATGGCCAACAGGAAGCACGACGACAGCTGCGGCCGCGGCGTGCCGGCGTTGAAGAGCGTCGGCGTCGCGTGCGTGAACATCTTCTGCGACATCATCTCATAGGTCTCGAACGCGCCCGCCAGGTCATCGCCGTGGATGCCCAGCGCGACGCGCATGATCATGTGCTGAGGCCGCTCCGCGATCGCACCGTCGAGGCGCATGAGGTAACTCCGCTCGAGCGTCTTGAACCCGAAATAGTCGTACTCGAAGTCGCGGTCGTAGACGATGGCCGCGTTGATCGCGTCCTTGTGCTTCTGCACCGTGGCGTAAGTCTCGTCGGAAATCAGCGCCGCGGGCTTCTTCGTCTTGGGGTGCATGTGCTTGTGGAGCTTCTCGACGACGTCGGAGAACGTGTTGTCCGTCGACTTGTGCAGGTTCGACACGGAGATGCGCGCGGCGAGCACGGAGAAGTCGGGGTGCTGCGTCGCCATGTAGGCCGTCGTCTGCGCCGCGAGCTCGTCGAGCTCGTGCGTCGTCACGCCGTCGTAGACGCCCTGGATCACCTTCTGCGTGATCTGGTTCGGCTTGATGTACTTGGCGTCGAGGCCGTAGCAGAGCTTCTGGATGCGGCTCGTGATCTTGTCGTAGCGCACGGTCTCCTTCTTGCCGTTGCGCTTCACGACCTGCATGTCGTCGTCCGCGGACATCGTACGGCCGCGCTCGCCGAGGGGCCTGCGGAGCGGCGGGCGGTCACGGCACGACGAGGGAGGCGTCGCTCGGTGTGAATGTCGAGCGCGTGTTTGACCGCGTCGTGGAGCGCGAGGCCACGTGGCGGCACGCGAGTGCGCGGCGGCGGCGCGCGCGGGCGTCCGACCGAGTGGATTCGGGTCGTTGGGTGTGGTGCGGCGCGGACGGCGGTGTTTGGCGCGCGTCGAGCGCAGCGCGCGTGGCGGACGCAGCGCGCGGAGCCCAGTCACAGACGCTAGCACAGTTGTCACCCCGGACGATACGAGGCTCTTGAGCGGCGAGGAGGGCGGCGACCGTGATTAGAGGGCAGGAGCTGCCCCGTACGAATAAGCTTCGCACGAAAAGCGGGACGTTTAAGAGTGTAACTTCGACCTCGGCCGAGGACAAGCACGGAAGGAAAAGCATGGTAGGCGTCGACGGAGGGCCACCGATGGTCCGGGAGGATCGGCGAAAACTATGAAGGTACCGTGATTGGGTCGAGCACTCCCGCGCAGTGGGCGGTCCGCCACTGCGAGGAGGAAACTTTCGTAGGCACGAAAGCATTAGGTGGGAATTCAAGAAGCGCGTTTTTAGCATCGTATGGGCTGCCCTCGGTGGTGATAACATGTGGCTCGCGTACGCCGCCCTCGTCGTCGCGGGCGTGCGGGCCTCGGCGCCGTCGTCGGACCTCGAGCGCGCCTGCCGCGCCGTCGGCGATGGCCCCCGGTGCGGCGCCGTCTTCAACGCGACGCGCCTCCCGCGGGCCTGCGACGAGGAGCTCGCGGCCCTCGTCGTCGCCGAGTTGCCGGGATCGAAGATGACGCAGCGGCTGGTCCGGTCCGTGAGCAGCGCGGCCTTCGTCGACATGGTCGCGCGGGCGCTGCGGGCGGAAACCGTCGACGACGACTCGTCGGAGGCGTGGGCGCGCGCGAGCACCTACCTCGCGGCGGGCCACTTCAGCAGCCTCGGCGACCGCGACGGCTGCAAGAGCATCTATGGCTACGAGTATTTCCTCGTCGCCCTGGGGCGGCGCACGGCGTCGGGCCTCTGCCTGCCGCGGGCCTGCGCGCCGGACGATTTGAGGCGGTTTCTCGACGGCGCGCGATTCGCGTTGGACGACCCGGAGCTCCCCGCGGGCCCCGCCTACGTGAGCGACGACCGCTTCAGATTCCGCCTCGACGAGCTGGGCGTCGTCGTCGTCGTCGCGACGGCGGCGCTGGCGCTGCTCGCGGCCGCGGCGACGTATCTTCACGCGGCCGCGAAGCGCGACGTTCTCGGGCGCGGCGGCGACCCGGAGGCGGCGCGCGACGCGCTCCCGGCCTGGCTCCTCGCCTTCTCCGCCGTCGAGAACGTCGGCGCGCTCCTGCGGCCCCGGGGGCCCGGCGCGCTCAAAGCCTTCGACGGCATGCGCGTGCTGTCGCTCTGCTGGGTCGTCGCGGGCCACGTCCTCCTGTGGCCCACGCTCGGGCCGACGACCTTCGCCAACGAGGCCGAGCGGCTGCTGCCCGGCGACTCGTCGACCGTGCTCCGCCAGCTCAGCGCGCAGGTCGTGCCCGCGGCGGAGTTCGCGGTGGACACGTTCTTCCTCCTGAGCGGCTTCCTCGGCGCGACGTCGCTCGCGGACGCCGTCCTCGCGCCGGGCGCGCCGGGGCTCGCGGCCTGGTGGCCCGCGCTCGTCGCGCGGCGCCTCGCGCGGCTGGTGCCGGCCTACGCCTACGTGCTGCTGGCCTACTGGAAGGTGCAGCGCGTCGCGGGCCGCGGCGCGCTGTGGTCGGGGATGGAGTACGCGTACGAGCTCTGCGACGAGTACTGGTGGACGAACGCGCTGCTCGTGAACAACCTCGTGCCCTGGGGCGTCGACGACCGGTGCTACGGGCCCTCGTGGTACATCGCCGTCGACGCGCAGCTCGCCGTGCTGGCCCTGCCGCCGTGCGTCGCCGTCGCCGCGCGGCACGGCGTGAAACGGGGCGTCGCGTTCCTCGCCGCCCTCGCGGCGGCGTCGACGGTGTTCACGTGGTGGCTGGCGTCGACGAAGCGGCTGACTTTGGTTACGTTCCAGTCGTCCTACATCAACGACGTCTACATACGGCCCTGGACGCGCGCGCCGCCGTACCTCGTCGGCGTCGGCGCCGCGCTCCTCTGGCGGGAGAGGCGGTCGACCCCGCCAGAGGAGAAGCGGTCGACGCCCGCGGAAGCCCGTCGCTCCTCCGGCTGGCTGCTGAGCCTGAGCCTGGGCGTCCTCGCGGCCTGCGCCTTCGGCGCGCTGCCCTTCCGCAACGCGTCGCTCAGCGGCGCGCGGTGGCGCGCCGAGTACGCGTACCTCGCGCTGTCGAAGCCCGCGTGGGCGCTCGGTGTGGCGGCGGTCGCGCTGCTCTGCTTCGAGGGCCGGGGGTCCGTCGTCGGCGCGGTGCTGGATCTGGATGTCTGGGCGCCGGCGGCGCGGCTGACCTACTGCGCGTACCTTGTGCACGCGGCGGTGCTGGACGTCGTCTTCCACGCGGACGCGGCGCAGCGGATCCACTACTCGGCGGAGTGGTACGTCGTCACGTTTTTGGGCGCGGGCGCGGTCATCGTCGTCACGTCCCTGGCCGTCCACCTGCTCGTCGAGGCCCCGGCGGCGGCGCTGCTCCGCGGGAAGACGCGCGAGCCGGCGGCGGAGGAGAAACGCGCGGGCCGGTGCCTCGGGGGCGCGGACGCGCGGCGCCTCGCGGCGGCCTGCGCCGCGTCGGCGGCGACCGCGGCCAAGTTCCCCCCGGCCAAGGCCGCCGCCCCGCCGGCGGGCTTCGCGGGCGCGGCCTTCGTCGCGTGGCGCGACCTCCGGCTCGTCGACGACGGCGGCGCGGTGAGGCTCGACGCCGCGCGCGGCGCCGTGGCCCGCGGCCGCCTCCACGGCGTGCTCGCGGCGGAGGCGGCGACGGCGTCCCTCTTCCTGCGGGCGCTCGCGGGCCGCTCGGACTGCCGGCGCGCGGGCTACCTCGCGGTCGACGGCGACGGTTCGCGCGCGGCGGCGAAGCTCGGCGCGCGCGTCGCGCTCGTCTCCGAGGCGAGCTTCCGGCCGCCGCTGACCGTCTTCGAGACCGTGGCCTTCGCCGCGGCGCTGCGGGCCGACGCGGCCGCGGACGCGCGGACCGTCGCCGCGCGCCGCGACGCCGCGATCAAGCGCGCCGCGCTCGCGGGCCTCGAGGCCGCGCTCGTCGGCGGGGGCCTGCCCTGCGGGCTCTACGTGGACGGCCTCGCGCCGGCGGAGCGGCGCCGCCTCGCCGTCGCCTGCGGCCTCGCGGGGGCGCCGGACGGGATCTGCGTCGACGAGCCGCCGGCGCCGCTCTCGCTCGCGGAATCCCTCCGCGACTGCGCGCTGCTCGCGGCCCTCGCGCGGGAGAACGGCCTCGCCGTCGTCGCCGCGTCGGGCCGGCCGGCGGCCGCGGCCTGGGCGCTCTTCGACGACGCGAGCGTGCTGAGCTGCGGGCGCCTGCTCTACTGCGGCCCGCGCGCGGGCGCGGCGCCGTGGTTCGCGGGCCTCGGCTACGCCGTCGGCGCCGCGGGCGAGGACGTGCTCGCGCTCGTCGCCGTCGACGGCGACAAGGGCGGCCTCTTCGGCGCGGGGGACACGATGCGCGGGCCCTCGGACGTCGCGCGGGCCGCGGACGCGTACGCCGCGGCCGCGCGCGGCGCGCCCGGCAAGGCCGGCGACGATCCCGGCGACGACCGCGGCGGCGACGACGCCCCGGTGCGCGCGCGCGTCGCACTCGTGCGCCGCGCGCTGCTCCTACGGCTCCGGGACCCGTCGCGCGGCGCGCTCCGCGGCGCGGTCAACGTCGCGGCCGCGGCGGTGTTGGGGGGCCTCGCGCGGCGCGACGTCGCGGGCGCGCCCGACGCCTCGGCGCTCTGGGTCGCCGCCGTCGCGCTCGGCGCGCTGGCGGCCGCGCCGGGCCTCGCGGACGACCACCGCGGCTTCGCGCTCGAGCGCGGCGACGGCCGCGCCTACGGGCCCGGCGCGCACGCCGCGGCGACGCTCGCCGCCGAGGGCGCGCTCGTCGTCGCCGTCCACGCGCCCGCGGCGTACCTCTTCGCGTCCCTCGCGCGGCTGCCCCGGCCGTTGGACTTCGCCTGCGCCGCGACGGCCGCGGCGTCGCTGCACGGCGCCGTCGCGGTCCTGACGGCGGCCGTCGCGCCCGACGCGGGCCTGGCGGCGCTGCTCCTCGCCGTCAAGTTCGGCGCGTCCTTCGCCGCCGTCGCGCTCTCCGACGAGACCTGGATCACGCACTTTTCGACCTTCAAGCTCGCCGACGACGCGCTCGCCGCGTCCCAGGGGTTCTCGGAGAACCACGCGGCGAAGTTCCTCGCGCTCTCCACGGGGCTGCTCTGCCTGCTGGCGCCGTCGACCGTCGACTCGGCGCTGGGGGGTGGGCGGCGGTGAGCGTTGACTAAGAATGCCCGGACTTAGTTCACGCCCATCTAGAGCCGCGTACTCGCGCGTCCGATGCGCGATTCTACCGATGGGATTTGTATAACAAGATCCGAGTTATCGCTAAAAACTCTCATTTGTTCCTATCCTATTGAACAGGCAGTCATCATGAGAGAAAGCACCCGACATGGCGGACTCGGATGATAAGATCATAGGCAGTTTGCAGTGACCATGAGCGGGCGGTGGAGGGAATATCAAAGCTTCTCGTCACCATATCCAACCAGCTTATCTTGCTGGTCCTTCTGCTCTTCTTCTTCTTTCTTGCGACGCTTGAGGAGGATGCAAATAAGAATGCCACAC